AATGATGTTGCTGTGCCTAGCACCCTTTGCAGCCACCGGAACCTGCTTTTCAGCATCCCATTCACTGCTCTACGACAGAATCCTAAGCAATGCTTTTTGTTAAGCTTGGCCTCAGAACAGCAGAGCATCCATTGGGGTTGCGAGGAATTGGTGTGCAAGCATGGCTTCAGGGTTTTGTCGCTGTCACCTGCACATAACAGTGAGGCGGTATCTGACATGAATGTTTCATAACCTTTTCAGTTGTCCAAAAGCACATCAAGACTAGATAGAAATTCTATATGCTAATGCATACTTGGAGATAGTTGCATATCATCCCAAAAAGGCTGAAAATGTAATAATAAAAAAGTTGAAAAAAAAGTGGAGATATTCCAATTGTTTTGCACAATACCCATAAATTATGCCTTCAGAGCAAAGAGGTGTCAATTGAGTTTATAATCTCTTTATTTTCCTTTATATACAAAGGTGGGAGATGGGGCATATAATGTCAAACGTCAAGCTGCATGGCTTGCAGCTTGACAAGGCGCCCTACCCGGTGTGGCAGAAAAGCAGCAGAAACGTTTCAGACAACACAAGCAAAGAACAAGATACTGTACCAGTTTGAACCTGCAATCGTAAAATGAAAACGTACACAACGTGCTGCAGCAGAACAATTTCCAGATGTTGAGGCCCGAGACATTTGGATGATACACATGCAATCACGAGTAAGCTTGAATCCGTGCGACTATCTCACACGACACTCATCACGGTGAACGAGGCACCCGTTTTCTACCGAGAGCTCTCGTGCAAGCGCATTGAGAAAATGTGTATTGAGCACTTACCGACAACACCGCTGAATTCGCATCGCTGAACTTCTTGGTCGTCGTCTTTCCGTCTTCACTTGGCGCGCGAAGCCCACCCACCTTCAGCCCCGGGTTATCGATTATCGCCTCTGTAGCATCCAAAGAATGCGACTCGCAGCACACCGACGCACGGCGACGTCTTCGTCGCAGCAAAATTTGCCACCAGCAACGCTCAAAGAGAGCACTTGCTGCGCGGCGGTCACCATATGGGGCCCTTCGCGACGCCGCCAAAGCTTCCACGGCAAATGTCAGCACCAGCGAGTGTCGGGCAGTATTCCCCGATTACGTCCCTGACGAATCTTGAACGGCGAACACATAAAAACATAGCGATAGTCCGCTTTGGTCCGCCCCGTCTACGAGCTTGAACGTCGCCATCTTCGTTGACTTTGGCAACTTTTGCTGCCCGACTACTACAAAGTTATCTCCATCGCCAAACTCAATCGTGACGACATTTTGACGTCACCGCGAACTTCATTATTTCAACAGCATAGCTCGAACTCCATCGGAATCCGTAGGAAAAAACTCAATCGCAACGTCACATCACGTGACCAAAAGGGCAGCCAATCAGCGACCGATTGAGTTAACTTCATCGTTGAGTTTGCGATAGACTGATTTTGCGGGCCGGTCGCCAAGTCGCCCGGCGGCTGGACCAATCAGCGGCGCCCCGCGTTTGTTTACATCCTGGACTTTTTCGGAACATTTCCCGGAGAGGGTTGGGGCCCGAGAAATCCGTCCAACCTGCCTAACCTCTCTCCCCCGTGTGCGTATGCCAGTGGCCCCATGAGCTCCAGGGCGGTGGCAATCAGTTCGTCGAACGACGTTTCATGGACAAATCGTTTCGTCGACACTGCGATGTTTCATGGACAGATCGTTTCGTGGAAACGAGCGCCCGCTCGTTCCATCGACAGACGTTGCGACGTTTCGTCGACAGCTCGCTCTGCCAGCTGCTCCTCCTAGGCGACCTCTGCGCCTGCGCGGCGCGCGGCCTTGTGTTGGATGGAGGGATGGACAAAAGATGGTCGACTGGTTCAAGTATGGTGAACCAGTGCGCAGCCATCTTGCCTCACCAACTTAAACTATCGCAATTTTTTTTTTTTTTTTTTTTGCAGGGACAGAACGAGCGGGTTGGTATTGATAGTTAAACTTGAGGAAGAAAACGAGAAAGGAAGTTTGTGTTTGTCCGTCCTTTCTCGTTTTCTTCCTCAAGTTTAACTTTTTTTTTTTTTTTTTGCTTGGTCTTTTTTTTTTCTTTTTTTCTTTCTTTGTTTGGGGGGGGGGGGGGGGGGGGGGGCGGGGGGAAGGGCTCGCCGATTGCACTGATTTCGGAACTTACGATTTGAATGGTTTCGCTCGTGTATTTGCCCGAACCTTTGGGGAAGCGTTGTCAAAGCCGGGAAGTTTCGCTATCGACCAGCGTCCTTTCTCCAATTACATTTTAAAACATTCAACAATATGCGCTGCTCTTGAGGGCTACGCTTTCGGCAGCATACGTGATCGAGGTGTCTGTACGTTATCGAATGCAACCCTTTGCGGGTTGGCCGCCGTCACTCCGACTGTTTTGAAAAAGTGGCTGGGTCATTACCAGAGCAAGCTTATCTTTCCGCGCGTCGCGTCTTTTGGCATAATGCTCAAGAGCCATCTGAACATAGCATAGATAGTCCACACGTCAAAACACTGAAGCTTTTAAAGAACATTTGAAAGAATAAACGAGGCCTGTTTGCGGTGCACACAGCTTTCCTACCGTTAAAAATGGCATAAAATCGGTTCTCAAGCTAATTGGCATCTGGTCTTAGCCGCTAGCAATAAACTTTGAAGGAGACTAAGCATTTTCCTACGCGTGGTTTACTTTTACGGTGAGAAAACACGGTTGTTTTCTCCTCCAAACACTGGGTATTCAACGTACTGTACTTACCAGACCACATACGATTTTTGGTCTTTAGCATATTTAGCTTCTGGATAATGAATAACACAATAGTTCTGCATAGGTTATGCCTGTACTGAAATTTTGCATGCAGATAATCCAATATGTGAGCAAAGAACAATAGATTTGGAAGCCGCTCTTTTATAAAAAGAGCTAAGAACTTGCCCGAGGTATCTGTCTGCTGGCATCGATAAAAGAAATATTTAATGTCGCGTGTGAGGACCAGTCGGCTGCTGCCGACAGATTTCGTCTAGTGTTACTACCGCCTCCAAGGCCTTGCATCTGGTGGCTGCTCGAGAGAAGCTATATAATGTGGGAGGCACTCACTTGATCGAATGACGCTTTAGCAAACGCCCACGTTTCATCGAACGACACTTTAGCGAATAGTCGGACGCCGCGAAGCGGCGTTTTCGGGTGGGCCAAGTGAGTTCATATTTTTGTAAGGAGTTGCCGTAGACTGTCGCCGCGAAGCGGCGTAAAGCGCAGCGCGACGGAAGGGTTAACGCGCGCCCCCGTTATTCGCTAAAACAACCATTCGCTCAAATGTCGCCGTTCGATAAAATGTCATTCGCTCTTGTGATATGGACCGCCATGCGCATTCGATATCAACTTTGGTTTACTTTGTGTAATACGACTAAACTTGGTGTGCTGTTTTATTTATCTGTCATCGATTCTCGTGTTTATTTATTTATTGTTTGCATTGCAATGTAGTTTTCTTTAGGTTTACTCGCGGGCAGCGTGCGCCCGGTAGTGCGAGTGTTATTGGTTTTCGTGCTTTTGTTATTTATTTTTATTTGACAATGTTTACAGCCCCCTTATTGTGTAATGTCTTTTTAATCGGCCCTTAAATGACGATGAAACGAGTGTGACTAAACAATTTTTTTTCGCGTATAAGTCGCATTGGCCAGTAAAACACTGCATCACTTTTCCTTTTGAATAATTGAGGGTAATGAACATGCTTAATTTCAATTGAAATATTAGGGTTGTAATGTTGCAATGGAAGGCTGCAAGCCGTATTTTTGTTTAAAAATAACCAATATGAAGAAGAAAAAAAAAAAACAGTGTTTACGCCCTTTTCCACAACCCACCATTGGATCGAAGTTTTGCTTTGTGCCTACGCATATGTTTCTCCACCGCTTTTCTTCTTCCAGTAACTTTCGGTTCTATAAACGGGCATCGGAACTTGCAAATATCCAAATAGGCAGCGCGCGAAGTCCTGCGCGGTCTTGCTTTTCTATCTGACACGAATGAGAGCGAGAGGATAACGCAGTTGCTCACCTTGGAGAGCAACTGCGCTAGGCATCGTCTTTTTCATCTGTTACAAGCGCATATACCTTAAGTTTCCGGCATTCCTTTCGGGACCGAAAAAAAAAAATGTTTGTCGACGAAACGTTTTACGGTGGTGCTGTCGACGAAACGATTGTCGACGAAACGTCACACTGTCGACGAAACGTGTGTCCATGAAACGTGTGTCCACGAAAAGTTGTCCACGAAACGTAATTCCACGAAACGAGTTTCGACGAAATGATAGGGACCCGCTCCAGGGTGGGGGAGGAACGCTCTGTTCGTCTCGGGAAATTTCGATCTGCTTCCGAGTTTTTACCCCCCGTAGTCGGCGCCTATGCAACCATGCATGCTGCTACATGTCCGTCCAATGCCTTGGTTGGAGGTTCCAATAAACGCTATTAAAAACAACCTTCTTTACAGCAGCACCCCACCCTTATTTTAATGGCGCTAGAAAAGGAACTCGGCCTGGCAGAAAATCTGTGTTTTCTCGCGCTGTGGCCGCTTGTCAATCCCCGCGACTGTTGCGACTAGTCACAAGTGTGAACGCGCCTTTTCTCTGCGAAAATCCAATCGCCTTGGTGCCTTCAGCTTTTGCGTAGTCTCCGGGTTTTCCCCTTTGAATTCGGAAAGGTGGCTGCCGCCGTCTATCGTCGTGGACAGCCTTCGAGACAGCCGTCTCTGCTGTCTTGGCGATTCCGGTATCTCGGTCCGTCGACGGCAGCCCTCTCTCTCGGCGCGGCGCGAAAGCGTGGACAACTCCATGCGGATCTGTTCTTTGGACGCGGGCTGTTCCTATTGCTAGGGAAGGATTTGGAGCTGTAGGTGCACTGTCTAATGCAAATGAGCGTAGTAGTGTTTAATTTGGTGAAATGCCGATGGAGCGTGGAGAAAGACATCCCGAAAATGACATTGCGCATCCATCTCTAATTTTTTTTTTTTTTTTTTTTTTTCAGTGTACAACGACATTTGGAAAATATGAAACACGCAGCCCTGCGAAACACAAGGCCAGCTGCGACGCTACCCTGAGAAAATGGGGCCGAGAGATTAAAAAAAACAAAAATAATAATAACTTGCTTTTTCAGGGGAGGTGAAACTTTTTAAATGACTAATTTGAATGACTCCATTCTGCCTTTTGTGCTCTTGTTCTTATATTACATTTCTTTTTTACTCACTAGCACTAAAGGTTAGGCACTGTTTTCATAAGGTGTTTTGTAAGGGGCAGGGGTAAGTTACCATATTTTAACGTTCAAAACGATAAAAAAGTAAGTTGCTCTCTACCAATTTGCATTCACATCTTTGTTATTAGTTTAATTATACTAGCCATTTATTATATTACCTAGTGTCCCTCTATAAATACACTATAAATTATATTTTCATTCCTGTTGATGGTTGCAATAAATACAATTAAAATGATAAAACATTTTGTTCAGATTGTACTTACTACTTATAGTGAAGATGCCTCTTTCAAAAACTCCCCCGATCTATTATTTATTGCATAAAGCGGCTCTACTAAACATTTTCATATTACAACACACTTTGAATACAGGATACAGTGGTTAATAGCATAAACGAACCAGATTAGTACTTTATTGAGAAAATCACAACATGCAAAGATTAAAAAAAAAAAAAAAAAAAAAAAGAATTTAGCAAGGAGTTTTTTCTTTGACAAGTTCAAACAATAATTTATCTTCCAACCAGCATTCCACCATCAGGACACTGATAAATTCACATGGCCAGAAAAATTCCTTGGATCCCAGATCCTCTTGTAGATCATTCTATTTACGTTTTATAGATCCAAGTCATCACTTGGATAACCTGGATCTACCTTAAAAAAAAAATTCACACGCCCACCACAAGCATCAATTGCGACCAAATTGATAACTTGGCACCGTAAGAATTAGAAGTTCCCAACCTCATTTTCTTGCATGTCAGCTAAGTTCAATATCGTCTCCCCCGTTTTCAAGTCCCTCTTTTGTAAACCTTTAGAATGCAAACAAACCTGACTGTCAAGGTACTTCTCTAAACAACCATAAAAATATACAATTTAAAAACAACAACCACAACAAAAAAGAACAAAAAAGTTTATCAAGTTTAATGGCGCAAAAAGCTACATAGGCCATGCTGAAGCACAAAAAACAAACAAACAAGAAATCCACAATTTAAGCTATACCAGCCATTAAAATCCTGAAATTCAGGAGCACTGAACTTAGAACCGCAGGTAGAAACACAAAGAGCTTACATTCCGTCTCACTTCAAGTGCAAACGTAGCAGAAGCTGTAAAAGTGACCTCTGGTCTCTCAACGTCCCTGCAAAGCATCTGTGGTCGTGTACAAGCATCTTTCAGGGCAACACACTCCTGCCTGCAACTCTGACTTCGCTCACACTTAAAGTGGAAATGAGTTTTGTGAGCAGTGCAGATGTTGGCAACCTGCTCTCCTGTCTCCTACCAGGCCCATTGCTAATACACTTCCAATGTTTTGACCAAAGAAAAAAAGGAAAGCATGAATATCACCTTTAGAGATACTGGTTTTATTTCAAAGGGAATGTTGGTACTCAATCAAGATAGGCCCTCTCAACTTTATTTACACTTCGGCAGGTTGACTGCTTCGAGCTATCGCCAGTCCCTCATGACCTCTTCATACCTTTCGGGGTCTACAAAAGGCTCGTCCACAGACCTGAGATAGAGATGGACAAATTAGTTCCACGTTCGCGACACATTTCCAACAACAAACTGGACTGACGTTTCTACAGTGCATAGAAAAGGTGAAAAACTGCCCAGCTAAAAAGAAAAAAAAAAAAAGATATTCATAAATTAAATCGAGAGGTTTCTTTGGCTTTTTCTTTCCTTGTTTTACATACACCTGATGTGTGTTGTAACAGAAGATGAGGCCTGTTTTGGTGAGTAGATATTCAAACACATGATGCGAGGCATTGCTTATATCGTTGGATCAAGTAAACATTTGATTGATTAATTGATTGGTGTTGTGACAACAAGCAGGTGCTTATAGGATACTTTAAATGAGAAGTAATTTATTCGTTGAATTTTAGATCACAAATTCTACTACTATATATAGTATATATTCAAAAAGAGCATCCTGCCTCTGTAAAAAAAATTCTGCTTAACGCTTGAGGAGTTGTATTAAGAGATGATATACAGCATGTATTTCTTCACCAATCCAAGTTCACTAGACCTGCACATTTTCCTCCCATTTCATTTTCTTGGCCACCCCCCCCCCCTCCCACCCCCCCAAAAAAAAGAAACCTTAAAATATACAGAATTGAAAGGCCAAAAATAAAAACACCTCCAAAACCGGTGCATAAACTTAACACAGAAAGTAGAAAAGAAACAATCAGTGTTTTCTGAAGTGAAAGCCTTGGAAAACTGAATTTCCAATAAAAAATAACAGATAAAAAAAAATTTTTCTTTTCGACTCCAGAATTGCAGAGTTTTTACCACAAGCAACAATTCTGCAAGTCTTGCCCCTTACCTTATTGCGAGCTCTCCACAGAAAAGGCATTCTGAAGCTATCAGATCATCCAGCTCATTCTGAAATTAAAAAAGAAAAAAAGTAGCCAGAGCTAAATTTCAGATCACCAAGATCATCATACCTAATCTCGCATCATTCTGGGAAATCTCTGGTTAGGATGGATAAACTTGATAACCTAGGATGGCTTGCATACCCTATTTACAACAAACTAAGAACTGCCCATCTTATTTTTAAATGGTAGAATCAAAGGTAGGGGTGTGCCTCAATTCAAAACATGTTTACTAGATTTGCACACCAACTTAAAAAAAAGTCGAATTGGGTCTTGCAAAAACAATGAAATTGTAGAGTGCTAAAAACCAGGTACAGTAAAATCTCAATGTTGAGCTCAGTAGTGCTCGTTTTCACCTAAAAAACTAAGTAAAAAATGTTTTTACTTCTTGTGGACTTTTACTAATTTCCCCCATTACGTATGTGGTGTATACATATAAAGACTTGTATGACTCTTTAAGATAATTACTTTTTATTTCATTGAAATTTTATTTTATATTTTATATACATATTTTAAATGCCGCAAGCTTAGTTTTTCCCTCTGACAAGGGAATATTGTAAAAAGCCACTTCATACAGTTTCCCCAGGGACTAGATAGGTGAACACCTGCCAGCAGGCTCCTAGGTATATTTATATACCGTAAAGTCCAAAAAGAACGCCCACCCAAAATGAAAAGATAAATGGCGAAAAATATGGGGTAATCGAAGATGTGACAGCAAAATTTCATTTAAAAATTGGTGAAGCACAGGTGTGATAAGTGTGGGAATTCACTATGAGGTCCCTTGTCACGGGTACGGCAGCAGAACGCAGACGCAGCGCATTCACGCTTCACAGTTACGAAGTCGGGTGTCACGGGAAACGATATCGCGCGCGCAAATCGCAAAAAAAAGGAAGAAAAAAAAAAAAAAAAAAAATTGCGGGATCGAGTTTGGAAGTTGCACGTCACAGGAACGGCTACCGCTAACTGCGGACGATGCAAATTTGCGTGTCATGATGCGATAAGCATGAGGGAACCCGCGGCGAACACGCTCGTCACACATACTGATACTGCAGGTCGCGACGTTCATGTGATTCCCGTCGGACACTGCAATCGATATCCGGCGGGAATCAAAAGGAGAGGGGTCGATGTTTTGGAATTTTTATGTTATGGATATTCAGCCCAAGGAACAGGATGGGTGATTTCTTGGGGACGAGTGTTCACAAGAGACATTACAGTAGACGTGATTTAATGCGTGCGGTATTTCGAATACACGTGGAAATGCTGAATGCCTTTGTGCAAAAATAATAAAAGAAAAAAAGTTAAACAACGAATTGATATTTTAGCATAGTACTTCTGACAAAGCCACCTATGCATATCCCATTTTCGGAAATCAGATACCTACACGCCATTGTTGGCTGAGCTGTGGCACTGAGGGCGCAAAGCAACGCGCCCAAATAAGTGCTTACAAGGCATTGGTATGGAGAACAGAAATAAACGCACAACCTTTATTGTGTGTCGTTCATATTCGTCCAAATATGGTGTATCTTTCCTCGCGTTTGAAACGGACGACTTAAACAAGCAACTCGCGCTGTTCTCCCTCGCACTGCTGGCGCTTGACAGCTCATCAACATGAGATCATGAAACGAAACGGAACACTCCGTCTATTTACCTGGTCCGGAATAAATCATGATCATTCTCGTTTGATGAAAATAGCCACTTGGCGCCTGTTCTCACCAAACAAATATCAACTCCTTTAATAACCTTGAAAAGCAAAACAAAAAAATTTTTCTTGGTTAGTTTTGGTGCAACATGCGTCTCAGCTTGGAGCGTGGAACAAAAACTTGCGCAGCAGAACCTGTCGGGTTCGATTCCCACCCCCTGCCCGTTTCGATCTGGATGTGTTTCGTACTGGCATGCGTTCGTGTGATCACTACTGCGTGACATGCATGTTGAAGACCCCAGGTTAGGGGTTGTACTGCACTGGCTAAACCTCTCATCTACAGGTAAGAGAGAAGTCACCAGTGGAGGTGTACTAGCATGTAGGCTGTTTAAATATACAAGCAACATACTAATTTTTTGGGGGAGCAGGAAGGCACAGCGAAATGTGGAATGGTTCACAATGCTGCAATTGGCAAAGCGCTTCCAAGCCTGTATTATTTAAGCTCATTTAGAAAAGCACACAGTGTTATCTGGGTGAGCTTGTTTCCGGTTTCACGAGTAAAAGTGGTGAGCTTTTGTCCAGATCTGTGAAAAATCTGATGATGTTTTGTCCGGCGAGCTTGTCCGGTGAGCTTCAGTCCGGGATTTGGCCCTTTTACAGAAACATTAACCCTGTGCTCTGATCAAGCTGAATTGTAGAAAACCACCTTTCTTTTTTCTGGCATGGGGCATTCAAATTCTGAGTTTATAGAATAAATCCGAATTGACAAAAAATTTAACCGGCAAGTGTTCTTCAGAGTTATTCAAATTTGTCCGAAAACACAGAATCCTAGCCAGAAATATCAAATTCATTGTTGCTCTTTGTTTATTTAAAACGCCACGAAGCGGCACATCAATTCCAAAGTCGTGTGAAAGCAGTCACCTACTGAATCGAGAAAGTACTGATCACAACCAAAAAATCAAAAACAAACAAAGACAAGAACACGCAAAAAGGACACACCACATGGTGGTGCATGTCCTTCACGTGTCCTTGGCACCTTTAGTGCTTTGGGTATGTACCGACTATCCTGCTGGTTTTTATCCACCCTGTTATCCCATCCCCATTACTGAATTACTGACCATGAGCTTGTCGCGGGTGCTGAGCGTGGGTATCCCCGATGTGGACGACAGCGACACGTTGTCGTCGTGGCCGCCGAGGGAGGCCAACTGCCGGTGGATGTCGTCGATGCGGCTCACCTTCGTGGGCGTCAAGTGCTGCTGGACCTGCACGAAACGGGCATCGAGCGGCCTCTGGCAAAAACAAATCCACACTCTACGCGAAGAACACGCCTGAAGATGAGCTATCAGAAAGGTCTGGCATATTATGATGGTCCAAATCTCTTTTGCTTTTTATTGGCAATTGCAAGTTTTCCAACCTTTCTATAGTCTATTGCAATTTAAGAAAAGCAAAACAAGCCCCCGTCCCCCCCTCGCCCCTTTCCAGCATTTGCTTTGCCAAAGTAGAAAGGGAGGAGGGCTTTGTGGGAGCAGCTTGACCTGCTTTTCTAAACCTGCAAGAGACTACAGGCACAGCTCCAGAGCATACATGGGTAAATTACTTTCAAAATGTAATTTAATTACAATTACAATTACTTAGCTCCCAAAGTAGTTTAACTACAATTACAATTACTACTACGCGAAAGTAGTTCATTGCAATTACAAATTACTTTTTAAAAGTAATGCAATTACTTTACAATTACTTCTTTCTGAGAGTTACCCACTTTGGGCCATATAACTGTAAACGAGTTATATGGCCGCTGTATAAATGCCACGCATTGTACTTTCCTTTTATGAAATTTGTTAAATGGATTACAGAACTTAATAGTTTGGAGTAATGAATTCCTGCATTCTTATATTCTCAAAAACTAAAAATGGCGACAAAATTCACAGGTGCGATGTGAATCTCGTTAGAGCTTATGCAAACGGTATCCAAGTCAAACCAACAAAAAATAAACTTAAAAATAATACAAGGAAACAAATATGCGGCAGTACGGTATCATAAAACTCACGTAAAAATAGCTAATAAGAGAAACTTGTAAACGACGTCAAACATTTAAAGAATACGACAACTTACGAAAACATTTCAGCCACGATGATTCGCTTCCTCTCCCTGTCTGTGGACTTTTAACATGCCGGATGTGGGTAACCGTAGCACGCGAACTGTGGTCGCTTTTACAAAATTAGTGTCACAATAGCAGCAACTCTATTGCCAGGGATTCTGGGTTAATTCACTGCACGCTAACACCCAAAAAGCTCCTGATATAGATAATAAATTTAGGATTGTCATACAGCTAATCATTAGGATAGCAATGATTGTATCGATGTTATTCGTCTCATAAAGAAGACCGATTTGAATTTAGCATGGCAAGAACAACCTCGAAAAATTCATAATGCCCTGAAACGACTTTATTTGTGCGAATTTCGCGATTCGCCTACAATTCGCGAAAAATAAGTCCCGCGAGCAATTCCGGAAAATGTAAACACATTTGAATCTATAGTGCAACCCCACCGCGTCGCGAAAATTAGAATCCGCGAATTATTCCAGAACTGCGGCCTCTTGGACGCCTCAATTTCATAATTTACTTGAGCGTGTTTCAGCTGGAAGATATAGACGAGCCATTATTATTATTTTTTTTATAACTAAGTATTATTGAAAGTGACAAAAAAGTTGCTAACCTGCAAATGTTTCCGCAAATTGGAGGTCGCCTTTCGATTTGTTGAATTTGTTTTCAGAGACGGTGCGGAGAGTTTGCACCTCACGATTATATTTTTTGCATTGCTGCTAATCTGTTTAAAGAATTTTTCGTAACAAGGCCCCGACAGCCTTTCCTTTTCCATTGTAGATAAGACTGTTCCAGGTTCTCAATGCAAAGCAGCACTGCGCGCCTCGGAACGGCTCCACAGGCCAGGACGAGAGGACAACGCGTGGAGGGTCATGATAGAGGTGTAAAAACAAAGTGCAAGTCAAGCCCTCTATAAAAAAAAAAAAAAAAAAAAAAGCCTTCAACGAACAACAAATGTAAAAACAAGCTCCCTACAGTCTAAAGCCGCGGTTTGTAAGTTTTGGAATCTCGTCCAATCAGGCTGACGAACGGTTGAAAGGGTTAGGTAGAGCGAACACTAAATAATGAAGATTTATACAAAAAGGCAGACGAGGATTGGGAGAAGGAAGAGCAGTGTAGCAACAACAGTTGGAAGTAAGGCAGGGTGCGTCGTGTTAATGAGACCTGCTGCTTCTTTGCTTCTTTGCCTCGATGTTAGAGTAGCACGACTTACTGTTAGTGGTACCAGCATACGAGATAGCAGAGAAGGACGTAAAAAACTCATAAAGAAACGAGAATAATTTCATGAACAAAAAAGTCCCCAAACTTGACTGAAATATGTAAGTGAATATGCCAGCGGCGAAGACGCGTAAGGAGAGCCTCGAACCTCCCCGCCTCGACCGGATGATGTGATCGGAGCCAACCAGCTCGACTTCGACCCCCGATGCCCCCGTGTGGGAATGAGAAATAAGAAAGACCATTAGAAACAGGAGTAACAGGTAGCGAACGAGACGAAGTGTCAGATTCAACTACGACAGGAACAAAAACGGATGCGAATGTAGCCCTCATTTATCAAATTATTTCTCAAATCCTTCATTAAATCGTTTTAAAGTCTACAAAATCCTTCATTCCGTTCTATCCCAGCGTCTCTTTCCCATCCCTCTTTTCCCTTTTTTTTTTTTTGAGCAGGTTGGGAGTCACTTTTTCCCCTGTCGCTTTGGCAGTGCTGTCGTCTCCGTGGCCAGGGGGGAAAAGCGCCGCCGCCGCAAAATCTTGCAAAAGTAATTGTAATTGTGCCTGAAATTTAGCAATTACTGACGCTAGAAAATAATTAAATTACAATTACAATTCCTGTTAGCCAAAAGTAATAAATTACAATTACAAATTACCAGGAAAAGTAATTAAATTACAGTAATTGAATTACTGTAATTGAATTACTACCCAAGTATGCTCCAGAGTGAGAGTTTCAGGCTCTCCCTCTAATTCCCTAGCTGCTTTGGGTAAGTCATGCCCAATGTCCTCGACTAGGGATTTTAGGCTTTCCCTATATACAGTTCCTGATGATTCCCTAGCTCATTAAAAGGTGTCGCCGGAATTCCCTGCAAATTGCAGGTCTTCCCTGTTGGAGACTGCTATGACCACGAAGACAGAGAGGCGAGAGAACAGACCACCAGAATTCCTCGCAAATTGTAGGTCTTTCCTGCTTGAGACTGTCATGACCACGAAGACCAAAAGGCGAGGGAACAGACAACAAAAAAGAGTTTCGTGTCTGAAGGGCAAACAGAAAACTAAACAAGTGGTATACTCACTTCACTGGAGAGGCAGTCAGCATGGAACATGTGCCCACAGGGAAACATGTAGAAGGCCTGGTTCATCACGGCATACTCGCAGACTGCACACTTCTGGTCGGCTCTGACTACCGAAAACCTGGACAAGAGCGTCAAAAAAACTTTAGAATTGGGTTTGGTCGAGCTGTCATCTATTAGCGAGTTCCCAGTTTCATTCAATGAAGCAAACATATCTAGTAGTGTTTTTAATAGAATGCAAAGCTAAATTCGATTTCGCCGTCCCTCTCATTTTTTCGCCAAGTTTCGCCAAGTGCCAAAGTTTAACGTATCTGACACTATATATGTATAAAAGTTCTTTTTCAAAATAAAATAAAAATTAATGGTAGCTTATATGCATCATTTATATCTACATGTCAATTCATCAGTGGAACAAAGCAATGGCTGCAAGAACACCTTGCAGCAGTATGCTAGAAACAATGCTCCGGTCCAAGGCATTTGCAAGAGCGCACAGCAACACAATTTATGAAATAATCCTCATGTAGCTGTACCATTGTAGTGCACTTTTTCAGTGGTTTTGCATTGTAATACGTACAATGCAAAACCACTGAAAAAGTACACTGCAATAGTGCAGTTGTAATTATAGTGCAGCCTGTCGCCCCCCCCAAAAAAATGTACAGCATATTTTTCACCGCAAAAATAAACTCTGCATTGTTGAATGCTCATTTTTCGTCCAAATGTAGCGCTAGCAGTTTGAACCGGATGGTAAAGTTTCAGAACTGACTGTTCTCTCCATCAAAAGTTATAAGCGGTTTTCTGAAAATTTCAGAGGGAAAATGGGCCCAATTATCCCACAGAAATTTTCAGAAAACCGCTTATAACTTTCGACAGAGATAACGGTCAGTTCTGAGACTTAGGCATCAGGTTTGAACCCCTTAATGCAATAGGTACAGTTGCCAATTGCTCAGCAACAGTGACCAAAGGGCCCTCACTTGTTGCGGAAGGCCTGGATCTCTGAGCGTATTTCCTTGGCGCTCTGCGTAGCGTCCTCCATCTCCACCTTGAGCTCCTCAATGTGCATGTTGTACTCTTGCAGCGACGAGCAGATGGCGTCCTGCAACGACGACAAGAAAAGCTTCCCTTTTAGATCGGTGCCAATTACAAGAAAGAGAGACAAACGATTTGTGGCATTTCCAAGGCCACATACCTTGAAGTGATCGATGGTGACAAATTCGTCGAAGAAAGGCAGGATGTCTTCAATCTTGATGAGGTCACACTCTTGCAGAAATTCCATGGCCCTCTTGATGTCTTTTTCCTCCTTGACCACGTGCTCGGCTGGATGTGACAGACAACTTTTTCGCATCGCAAGCAGACGGCACACAGCAGCAGACGGCACGCATGAAACAATGGTGGCCCGAAATCAAGAAAAAAAACCTTCCGACTTTCGCAAACAATTTTTCCGGGAAAAAGACTAAAAAAATTGAGTTATTTTTTTATGTGACGTTTTTTAGTTCCTAGAAGCCCCAACATGCTGCCGATATTTCTACGGAGCTTCTAGACAAAACAGTGTGGCCACCATCGAAAACAAAACTTCTGCTAGAATCTGACGTTCTGCACAAACTCGGGGCAGGCAAGCATGAAACGATGCAACTTCACATGCACATTTCTGTTCCCCATGTCTACGGCTATGGCCAAATAGTATGACGCATTAGATTAAATGTGGTTTGGATCAGAACTTGGTCAACACAGTGTGCGGTACCTCTTATATCCCCGACAACCTCGAAAATAGACAAAAGTCCCGAGCACCGCTTCAAAATATTATGGCACAATTGCCCTGAAATTGTTTATCAGGAGGAGCTTGATGTCAGACAAGCTGCCAAATCATGAAGTAAATATAATAAAATAAAAAAACAACCTTATCAAAAGCTAATTCACTCGATATCTCACCATCACAGGAAATTTTGCACTTTTCAATAAACACTCGTACAGAAAGTTAACTTTAGGTCCTGTCAGAAGGGTAGATAGCAAAGTGCACAAGTCAGGTCATCACACTGATTTGGCATAGGAATGAGACCTCAATGTTCCCAATGCTCAAACGAAAAGCGAGAATATCAAAAGTAATGGTGCTCACAGAAAAAAGGGCTGGAACAGCCTGTTCACATGCAGCAAACAGAATTCTATTCAGGCCTCAACAAATAAATATAAAACAAATGACCTGCTCTATTGCAAGTCGTTAGAAGTTGCTGAGCTGTTCAAGGAAACTTGCAGCCTCACCAATTTTGAGCCAAAGCTTTTTCTTGAGTTCCTCGTTGTTCCCCGGCATGTTTGCATTTGTCTTGGCAAGCTCAATGTCAACCTAGAGTAAGAAAAAATTAATAATGTATCTTCATCTTATAAATCAAGTTGGGGGACACGGAATGGGAAGCATGTTTTTGAGCTGTGCCGACACGGACACAAAGTTAAGGCGGCAAATTTAGCGATGTCAAGTGCCGTCAAGTTATGTGATGCAACATCACGTGGTTCGTGTCACGTGAGTATGTCACATGACGTCGGGCCATGCGTCACGTTACCGAAATGATGTGAACGCCGTCCGCTAAATTTAAAGGGCGTGTGCTAGTTTTTTGTGGTGGTACTTTCCACTTGCCTCCAATATCCCAGCTCCTAAAAACATACACTTCCCCCTAAAAACGAAACAAGTATATAACACGACAACCAAAAAACTGGTTTGGCAAAACGACGCTTGCTGTCAGTGGTTGTCCAATTGTGACTCTTTCACAGACAGAAAAAGGGGAGCGCACCTTGAGGGCCAAGTCGACGGCCTCTTCATACAGCTCCATGGTGGAGTAGATGTGGACGCAGGCCTCCGTTAAGCCTAGCTCCGAGCAAACGCGGAGGGCATACTTGAGGTCGTATGGCACAGTCACCTGGTCCTACGTGGCCGAGAAGCACAAGGAACAAACAATTCATTTCGGACAGAGTTTGGTATACGCTGCACTTTCAAAGTGGCACTAAAGCATGGAAGACACGAGCAATGAAAGTGGGCGCCGCGCAGCACTTGCCGCTAGAGGCGCCACAAGTGCATTGTGCGGCTTTATCTGTATCGAGCAGATTCGAGCGCCGCGGAGCCACGAGGAAGTGACGTAGGGATGCCAGCACTGGTTGCTATGGATACTGGCATGCACTGCCGTGTGGTGCCCGTTTTCATTGCCCATGTGCCCCCTGCTTTAGGGTACATTTTGGCTGCTGCTACAAACATGGATGTCACACCAAGCGCACACAGCAACACTGTCAGCGTGAACACGACGCAGGCACTTTTTCACGCTTCACTTCAAAAGGGGTGGGTGCCACATTTTACCATCTAGGTTAGTGTCCCAAGTGACCACTTTCCATCACAGTAGCAGTTTCGATGACAGCACTGGACAAAATAAGTTGTTCAATGAAACTGACCCCCAGTAAAACAAGCACGGTGTGCTAAGCGCCTCGTACGATACGAATCAAAAGAAAAGGTGTCAAATATTCCAAACTTGGAATAATTTACAAATAGTGTTTACTATTCCACTCAATCTGCGGCACATATTTCTGTTAGAAATAATCAAGTTTCTAAAATGTTCCAAAATTACGAATAATGTAATTCAGAGTTCTCAGATTTCTCATGCCATGCTCCACCACCTCGCACCAGCGTGCGCATGTCAAGCTTCACTGGTTTGCGCTGACGTGATGGGAGAAACGGAACGTGCTGGTTGGCTCGATGACCTTGAGAAATGTTTTAACTTTTAACTGTTGAAGGTTAGCTTTCTTCGAAATTATAGCTCAACCCCAATTTTTCAAAGGCGGTGCTGGAAAATAAATTCTCAAGCCATGTTCAAAAGCTAAAGTAGTCATTGCTTTCTTTCCCATATTAAATTATGTCTTACCCAACTTTTCTTCCTGGGCCTTTTTATTCTGTGGGTTGTGGAACGTTTCTCATCTAATAAAACTTCTTCTTTTCATAGATACATTTCTTAGAATGCTTCTCATTTAATGTGGAATGTTTCTCAATTAATAAAACTGTTCCTTTTCATGAATATGCTTTCTAGAAAAAATTTCCAACTGTGCAAATTCAATTCACATCAAACGTAAGGTATTTCTATTTCAAAATATTCAAATTCAATTCGCAGTCCCACACCCATATTTATATTTGATTTACAGTCAAAAATCTGATCTTTGCATACCTTTAGCTATAGAGGAAAAATGCCAGACTCACGTGTCCCTCGATGAGAAGGTACTTCATCAGCTTCTCGGGCTCCAGCCTGGCATAGAGGGCGAGGAGGTAGTTGTGGATTGCCTCGTCGTGATTGCCCAGCTTGTTCACGCAGAACTCGAGGTAGCGGATGGCTTCGTAGCCCTGCCGGTAACCATGCACGCTTTGCAACGACCGCAACATCGAATGGCTCGTTCGTGCCTCTTATTAAAAGATAAACAGACTCGGGAGACTGCGACTGACGGAAACAACTGTGGGAGCTGTGATCAGGGCGCATGATAACATGCAGCCTTCCGCGTTTCCAAGAAGCATTAATTCCTTCTTTCCTTCCGTGTTTTCAGAGTTCGGAAGATTTTGGAGAAATCTGTGCTTATTGCAGTTGATGCTGAAGAAACTTAGTCAGCACGAAATAAAACTATGGGAAAACTTCTTTCTCCTGGAAAGCTTTGATTTTTGTTATTGAAGGACAGCTCAAATTGAAGTTTTGCTTCTCCCCAACTTAAAAAAAAAAAAAAAAAAAAAAAATTGAGGGATTACTTTCTAGAGTTTATCAGTGCATACTGAAAACCTGGAAACTTAAAAATAAGTCGGTCAGAATTCAAATTAGGTAACCATGTAGACGATTTTAATGGATGGCTGTGTTTCTTTAAGGAAGAAGTAATGAACTGTACCTGCGTCTTGTCCCGCGTGTTGTCGTTTTGCACCAACGCCGGTATCAACCTCGCAGGGTCCAGCCGCCGCTCTCTCGCGTTCCACGTCATCCACATGTCGACGGTTTTCTTCGGGATGCACTGCATCAGCGTCGGCGAGAACTGGTACACCAGCTCGACGTCGTTCTGAAGCAGACGGGAAAGTGGAACGGATGAAACCTCACGCTTGCTTAGCAGCGACGAGCCAAAGCGGCCAAAGTTTGCGTTCTGCGAGATTTTGCACTTTGCCGGACTTTCCAAGACAACTTCAGCAAAGATTCGGCAAACTTCAGCAGACGCATGTGCAGATAGGAATGCTTGTGCCGTCGAAAAGTGTCATAATTTAGTCAGGAAACAAAACACAATTTATAGATTCCAAGCTTAGAAAATAACCCAAAAAGTTCTAGAACACCGAGTAAAAAATCCAGAACTGTAAGTACCAGTAGCTGCACAAAGGAAGAAATGGGCCATAGCATCGACGTAGTGTCCTTTCTGAGACGTTTTACGCATCATGAAATGTATTCAACAAAAGCATAATAAAACATCCGTCTACACTGAATCAAGCACAAGCACAAATCACAGAAAATGAGTGGACCTCAGGTCACAATTATGCACTATAGAACACATACAAACATTTGTTAGCATCTCAAAGGCTGCTTAACAAGCTTCCAAGGTCACACCTGTCTCATCAGAACTTCCAGTGCAGGCACAAAGTTCTTGTTCTGGAGGTGGTATTGGATGACCCTCTCAAAGTCTGCAAGAACAAGGTCACACCAATCACAAAGTTTCGTCAACGACATGGCAAAGCGAACTAACAGTGACTTGCAAATTTGATGCTCACCAATCTCGTCTAGGAGTGATCGAAAGCTCAACCTACCTTTCATGATGTTGGCAAAGTCGATGAGGATGTTCTCCTCCCCATGCTTGGAGATCAGCTTGTAGACCGCACTCCTGTTGTTGCTGACACAGTCCTTGAGAAATACGGAAGCACTGTCATTTCGCCGACAACCGAGACAATAAAACAAATGAGGGTTTCATCGCAAGATCCCCAGATCAGGTTCAAACCCAAATCAAGAGCCTGACTGATTTGCCTGCACAGGTCTTCAATGTGCAAAAGTGATCAGCCCACCCTGAAGACGAACAAGCTAAAACCAGAAACAGCACCAGCATTGGCCTGCATTTCTAAAAGTTTCCATGACAAGCAACGAAGCAAAGACATTTTAGTCTTCTGACTTTGCCCCGGACTCAAGCATTTCCACTAAACTGTGAGTGACTCCGCAATAACCGCTTTCGATGGCTTATGACAAAAGAACACACTGGCGGCGCCACCTATCGGGTAGTGCTCGAACCCTTCCAATTTGCGCACAACTAGACCGCAGGTTTTGCAATATTTGCGAGACCAAATCAACGCACTATCTGCAGTGACCTTGGATCGACCTTGAACTGACCTTGACCTTATCCTCCTGAAGGAGTTTCTTGAACTCTGCGGCCAGGTTCCTGTAGGTGGCTTCGTTCTGCCGCCCGGCGGTCCTCAGCATGCCGAGGCGGTTGAGGAACAGCTCCACGAGCCAGAGGGTGATCATGGTCGTCTGCGTCTTGTCAGACGCCTTCAGGGACGGCAAGGAATGAATACGGATGAAAACAAACGCAAAGACAGAATTTTAGGAAGAGACACGAAGAAAGGGAACATCTTGATGCATGCTGACCTCACCTGAACTACCGTATTTTCCGGTCTGTAAGTATAAACAGCCGTTTATGCAAAAACGTGGTATGTAAATTGCAACTTTGTAGTCACATTTATATACTTTTTTGGTGGGTGCGGCGAAACTGCATTGATAAACCTGCACATATGTATTATGATTGCAATATGTGCACAAACAGGAGGCATTTTCAATGTTCTCACCAATGAATTGAATGAGAAATATAACTCCGATGGCCAGCTCTCACATTAAGCTCCACACTTAAAAAAAAAAAATGCATATAAGCCGCACTGTTTTATAAGATGCACCGACGAAAAATATTGGGGAAAAAAATGTGACTTATGCACTGAAAAATGGGGTATTTTAATATTAAAAACCGCTTACTGCACCTTAGTGCTAGAACAAGAGACTTTGAGGGTGATGCTGTGAATACCTAGTAAGGAACACTGCACCTAACAAGGTAACCCATCGATTAGCAACAGCACTGGACAACACAGTGTTAACCAGAAAAATAATCATCATCAAATGGGACTGAATTTGACGGCTGCCTCGTCAGGATATGCATCTTAATTCTACGGATGAAGTTAGGAAGGAAAGAGCGTGCATCGAAAGAATGCCTCTATTTCTTTCCTCATAATAATCATTATTTTTATTATTAGTTAAGAATAATTAATTAGCACGACTTACTAAATTCAATGGGACGCAAGTCGGCTAAACTTAGCGGCCGTATGACAGAGGTGTAGAGAGAGAAAATCGACGTTATATTTTCAAGACACTGGCTGTCGTATTCGACACACTCTTGCATAATGTTATGCTCGTCTCATAAGAGCCTGCCCAATAACACATTGTGCTAAGATGGATAAAAAATATTAATTAAAATAGTACCTGGTATCAAGGTTTCTTCAAGCTAGAACAAGAGATCTGGGAAAGCGATTCTGTTAACGGCAAGGAAGACTATCTCAGCAGGTACTCTTCCAATCAGTAATTACATTGGACGGCATAGAGTTGTCTCGAATATTAACCATAAATGCATGGGTTCGAGTACATTAGCTTAAAAGTTGTTCCTCGAAAGACGAGGTCAAGCAGTTGTTCTCTGCTAATGCTTTCCTTGCCTTTAGGCCTTCGAGTTTCTTGGACAAGAAGCACCGCAGCGCCTCCTCGTTGTCTTCTTCCGCGTGTTGAAGAAACTTGAGGGAGACCTCCTCGAAGGAGGCGCAGGTCTTGGCATAGATCCGAGCACTTTCGAGGTACCTGCAAAAAGTGCGTTCACAATGATGATGATGATGAGCCGCAACCAAGCACGGCACATGCCGACAAAGCAAACCCAGTACCTATATCGTAAAATGCCGAGCACGTGCCAATGTCGCGATGAGAATGCACCTCCTACTTTTTTGAACATTTGGAATGTAAGCGAAGGACGCATCAAGTGAGTGCCAGTCGCATAGAGAAGAGGCATAGCCAAGAAAATGAACATTCTAGCGACTCCATTCCTCACTCTCCATGAAAAAACGTTTTTGCGCATACCACTGGCAATTTTCCATCCCAGCAAACTTTTTAGTCTATCGAGGAAACAGAGGCGCTCCTATGACCATGCCAGCGAAAAGTGGTGAAGCCTTGCATTTGCGCGTCGATGTAAAGCAGTGAAGCTTTACATGCGCGCGTTGGTGGGAAGCGGTAAAGCTTTACATGCGGACATCGGTGCGAAGCAGTGAAGCTTGATGCAAGAGTGGCGGCATGAAGCCAGGTCGACAAGAGCGGTGTGGCTGTTTAAAAAGTGTGTTCCACCAAACCCCTAAACTGTTTTTCCACCATTATGTGAATCAAACGGGGGCCAGGCAAGAGCTTGTCGTACCGTGTGACCCTTCTCCATTCTCAGAACTAACAACTGTCCATCCCCGTTTTTTTTTTTGCAATTACCTCTATCTTTTGGATGAGTATTTGCTCAGTACTTCAAGGTAATTTGTTAAAATGTAAAGACCCGTGGGAAACGCTCTACCCTCCAGCATGCACTCGTTGCCTTCCATCATGCTTCGGCTGCAAACGTGCCAAAGCTTCATTGAATGTAAAAACCTTGTATTGAAGGTAGAGCTTCAACTGCAGATCTTACACTGCGACAGTCTATGCACGGATACTTGGAATTGAAGCTCGGATACGAAGCATGTGTTAAAGGGCTACTCCACCGATTTTTTCATTGTCTCCGATTTGCTTGAAATTTTGCTAAACTAACCAACAAACATCGCGAAAATAGTATCCCAAATATTAGGTCAAAATATTGTTTTTTCACGAAGTTATTGAATTTACAGTTTTGGTCCTCACCGTGTTTTTCAAGCTCGAAGTCTCTACTGGCAACAATGAAAAAGTGACGTCAGTGGAAGGCAGGAGTTCACTCTTTGGGCTGTAGATTTTGTTTTAAACTGATTCGAAGCAGTTTCATGGTGTCAAATGAATGCTTGGGAAGCTCGCTGCAGTACCCGCGCTCCAGCACGGAACAAATGATAGGCATATTCTATTTTTTGGCTGCTTGCTCGACTGGCAAGCCTGCCTGCCACTGACGTCACGGCCCTGAAAAGCGCGCGTATATTTGAATGTTGGTTTTTGCATCATTTTCATTTGCCGATTTCGCAATAACTATTATGAATTTCGCGATTCTAAATAGCATACCGGAGAGAGTAAAGGCCGGGGAGTCAGAAAATATAGTTAGTTGAGGTAGCTAAAAAAATCGGTGGAGTATTCCTTTAAGGTCGTCGGCATCCCAGGAAAAGACAAGCAAAGCAAATGGACAGGTATGTTTTGTAGCTACAGTGCATAGTCTATGCAGCCGTCATTTTTACGTCTATGTACAAGATCGCGAACTGTCCACACTGAAGCCAGTAACGTTACTTGAGCAAATAGTTAAAAATATGAACTGGTTCTACACCCTAAAAGCATTGCTGCCATATAACTGTTGTTTTATGAGGCGAGAAGCAATTTAAGGAATCAGCTTCAAGCACACCATACATAAAAACAATGGAGGCATAACCGGGAATCCTACAGACTAAAAAAAGGTAACATTCTTCATGCAAGGGCAATCCTAGCCTCTTCATTAATGAGCTTCTCATAAACCTTCACTCACTCTTGTTTTTCAAAGAGGTCTTCAGCATGCTTGGTAAAAACCTGGTCCAGTTTTTGTGGGTCACCCTAAAACAGAATATCAATCGATCAAAAATTTACTTCACATCAGCCACTGATCCATCAAATAGTACTTTGTTCAAAGTACTCGGTACTTTTTTTGGGAAGTCGAGGGTAGTTGTAGTACGCCCATTTATGTCAGGCAGTCTGCTTAGCATCGCTAATCAATGGGGAATATAAAGGTTTTAGAGTGCAACTGACCTTACAGTACATCTTGGCGAGTTCATAGTTGCGGTCCTTTAGGTACACCTCCCACACGTGCCTTGAAAGAAAGTCGTAATTTGGTCATGCATAAAATGTTCCAGGTAGGCCAACACTTAGGGTTCTTGCATTTTGACTGTTCATGGTGGAAAAGATAAATAGATTCTCCCCCAAAATATTCCAAGTAAAAGAATCTGCATGCTAAGAAATGTTGGTGCCTTTTGCTGGCTTGGCAAACACAGACACAACAATCTTTGTAGAAAATTCTTTGTCAAAACATTCAAATGCAAGAATCATACAAAGGCAGCATTCAACAGTTTCTGCAAGATGAAACATATTTCTGATGTTCAGTGCATCAAACCACATGCAGGCGAGACATACAATTTACAATACAAAAAAAAAGTCATGCAAGTATGTCTGCACGGTCTAGTCGGTAGCGCGTCTGGCTCACAACCGAAAGGTCATGGGTTTGAATCCCGTCCTTGCCTAAAATTCTTCAAATTTTTCTTTTAAGTCAAATGAATTACTCTATAAAGTGAAAATCATTTGACACATGCAGCAACCTTTAATTCGCAGTATAACGTTTGTTTTAATCACTTTTATTCCACGCGTGACGTTACGTTTCACGTGAGCATTGTGGGTTGTTCGAAATTCCCGCGCAAGGTCATGTGGCCGTGACATCATGACCCTATTGACCAATCCGGATTTTCCCGTCACAACGCCACCGACATCAGCTTTTCTGCAACACAAGCTTTTAAACGCTATCGCCTTAAAACGACAACACAAAATGCTATGGCCAACCTCTCTTCGAAACAGAATGCATTGCAGCACACGAAAAAATCTCACCTGTCTTCGCTCTCGATTTTGTACCGATACACGACCAGTTCCGAGAACGCCCACACCATTCCCGAGACCGGATCTCTGGCGACGCCAATTGTCCGTCCGTATGCCTGGAACAGCCGAGGCAATCCAATCTCTCCTTGTGAACTTTTCTTTTATAGCAAAAAGCTCGCCGCCATTCCAGCGGCGAAGAGTGAAAAAAACCCGGCTAGGCACAACCACCCAAATGAGAAGGCCTGCACCTTTCCCCCTTCAACCTCATCACTGGTGGATTCACGTGGTGCCACCTATAGCCTGTGTCCGCATCGCTGCAAGCACAACGATGGCAGACAATGCCGCTGAAATGGAAGCGTCTGCCAATTAACCGCACACTTTCGTTGAACTTCAGCGTGTTTGCAGCATGGGGCAGGTCAGAGATCCTCAAATGCTGATGTATTGTACAGCCCCTGTTGGACTAGGTCCCTTAGGGGCCTACTCTCAGCCTACACGACACAGCATCTTGGGCCCACGTGGATCTCACGTCATCCGCTACTCGTGCACTTCCGCAACCCCAGGAAGCCACCTAAAGAAGAATGAAGGTCACCTCGGGAAAAACGTCCTCGAAGACCAGCTCCTGATTCAGCAGGCAGTAAACCTTTAACCTGTTCAAAGAAAATAATGAAGCCTTAGGACATTACCGCGGTTAAACAAATGGCTGCTAAACCTCCGCGCGTACGCGTAAAAGAAACTTTCTCGTCATCGCTTCACACCGCCGTATATTGCTCGAGTGATCAAAGCACTGTTTACGAACAAGGAATGCGTGTCCACTTTTGTGCACGGCACGCATACAAAAAATCATCCCGTTCAACAAAAGTGACACGGCGAGAAACGAGGCGAAGAAAACAATGTCCTGTAGAACTGCAACCTGTGCGGACAGCATTTTCGTGCATTATCCATGTCCCATACGTCGCTGGGCCCTTTCCGTCGACTGCAATGATTGGCTACCCGCAAGCTACGTAGGAAAGTGGATGCGCAGGTTGATTAGTGGCGCTTCAATTACACGGGTAAACATGGCACAGCGGACTCGCGATAATTCAAGCTGATATTTCATACTTCCGGTTAATTCAAACAAATAAAAAATTTTTGGTTCTCTCGTTATGTTTTTGATGCATTTATAAGCCTCTTAATTCAAACAGCATTTTAGCTTAATTCATACTATTTGTTCATCGTGGCGGGTTAGGCCTGTTGAATGCGCTTCTCACGGAGCACCCGCGTACTGCAGGAAAGCCATACCCATGAAGCTCGCGATCATTGCTTCTGCGCAGTATGCAGGTGCTCGCTAAGAAGCGCACTCGATGGAACTAACGTCCCTAGATAACCCTACAAGTCCTCCTCCCCCGCCCTCCTCCCTCACTCCTGTCGTCCGTCGTGTTCTTCCTAACTTGCCCATCGTGGCTGCGTACGAGGTCATGTCATGTGACAATCCAGATACAACAACGCTGGACACGGGTAGGTTTTTGAATGCCGAGGTATCAAACCGTTACTCGAAAGTGAGGTCCAGTCAAATCCGCCATGCTCTCCCTAAATGGTTGCAGAACGCAGGCACGGACCAGTGGGAGAGCGTGTCGGCAAGTCAATCGCTGTCTCTACTTAGCAAAGCGTTTATCGAGGTAACTTAGATGGGACTAACATGCAACGAATATGCAAGCAGAACTGTCTGTACAATCTGCTTTCGTTATCTGCGCTTGTTTATTATTTTTTTGAGAGGGTTAAATTCGAGATGAAAGAAAGAATATTTGCATATAGTGAGCAGATTTATAAATTTCCTAGATTTCACGAGTTCAGCTGAATTTTCGTTTAAGTGTGGTACAACGATAGTAAAAGGCTCGGAGAAACTATTCGATATTCAGTTAGATAATATTTGGCTAAAATAACTACTCGCCTCGAACTTCACGAATGTTTTATGCGCGCTTAAAAATAGGCCTGTGTAGATGAAAGTGTAAAAAGATCAGCTTGGAATGTGTAGCTATTCCTATAGTAAATCAGTATTTTGCCTTACATCATATTTAGATGATTATCTTGTAATTCAAACTTCTGATTATCATACTAAATCACCCTTACCAAGACAACGACCATGTGACAACCCTGATGCATTTTGCATGCATACTACCGCCATTACATCAACTCAACTCAATTGTTCCTTTTCTGTGCACTCATAAATAGACAAATCCCCAATAAACAATCACCAAGAACTTACTCACGCAGCAGTCAATAGAATTACAAACTCTGCAAGGCTTGAACGAAAAATGTCCATGTCCCTTTCCCATAGAGAATTGTACACATAGTATTACAAACATGCCATTGTGCAAGTCAACATAATGCCAGCAACCGACAAGGTGGTTATGTACCTGAATAACAACCCAAATAACATCTTGAATAAAGCTAGTTGAAAATTAGTGCCTGTCCTGTCTCATCCCTCGCCTCTTTTGCATCATTTTACTTTGTACCGAAATATGCACCAACTAGCCCGACAACCCAGCTTACTAGAAACGTCCCGAGGTGTACTACTGCTACAGTACTTGCCTATCGTGGAAGAGCACCATGGTATGAAACTCCGTAAGCACCATGGAAAGCGGCTTCTCCGACGAAGCTGGCTTTGCGGAACCTCTCGCATATCTGTCCGTCAGAGTTCAGGACGACATATCTTTGTGCTTGGAACGAGCAGGATCAAGGCAAAAATTGTGGCGGCATGCAACAAAAAAAAACCATTTCGATGGGTAGTAAAAACCCACCACTAACCGTGGAGCAAATTTGGGCTCTCTACAAACTGGCACCGGTTCCTCCGGGTCTCTTTTATGGCCAATTGCACTTTTTATGCCACTCTATATTGCTGCTCCCTACCCTTAAAGGAACGGAGCACCGAATCAGCTGGCTTTAAATTAAACAAATGCAGGGGTGCACACTGTTTAAGGTAAGAAAGGATACTCCAGCAGCTTGGGGTTGAAGATGACTGTCTTGGAGTCCCTCTTGGAATCCTTCTCTAAACTTGGAACCAGAATGTCACCAAAGTAGACCCCAGGCTCTGCATACAGAAAATAAGAACCAGAGCGGAGAGTTAAAACCCCGGAGTTATGTAATCCATCTCATAACAGGTGTGTGTACTGTGTCTTCATTTGTGATCCCTCGATTTCTGCCTGATGATGTCACACTTGTGTCGTACACTGTTGCCTTCCATGGCGGCAATGGATGTGGTGGACGCATGTTCTGCTGTGGCTCGCTCTCCAGCCTGGCACTAGTACGCGAAAGCCCCAGCAGCCACAAGTTGGGACACTGCGACGACAGCAATACTCGCATTTGCTCTTACTTCTTGTCTGCCAAAATCGCGACATCCGACAACATGGCACTCCAGCTCCTATGACACTTTGGGATCCCTTTGTATGCATGGGCAGTGTAAGACACCAAACACACCAGTCGAAGATGCATTCTAGGCACTGTAAAAGCGTCATCGCAGACCGTCGTTCGACAGCAGACGAGTGAGAAAACAAGAACAGAATCTGTGGTCTCGCCTCACCCAGCATGAAGGCAAACTTGGTTGGGCAGTCCTGAGGACTCGGACTCCAGAGCTGGAGGACGCTGTACCTCAGCCGGCTTGGAATCTCCTTGCATCGTTCTGCAATCCAGGACGAAGCCGCAGTCATAGAGACTCTCGTAGTCATCCGAAGTCAAGACCACGGTCAAAGAGACACTCCTGTCGCCATCCAAAGACAAAGCTAAAGCCAAAGAGGTTATTGTAGCCATTCAAAGGGGATCCACAGTCAAAGAAAGATCTAAGGACAAAGCTAAAGCCACAAAACACTTTTTTTTTTTGCTATCCAAAATCAAGGTGCACATTCAAAAAGATACTGTTTGAGCCATCCGAAGATAAGCCACAGCCAAAAAGATGCTCTCGTAGTCATCCAAACTCAATCTGCAGCAAATGACACTTTTTTATTCATGAAAGAAAAATATACAACCATAAAATGCCTCTTTTCTGTTTGAAAAATCAAACATCAAGCCCCACTACAAAAAAAAAAAAAAAAAACGAAAACAAAAATTTATGTTTTGCTGCCAGCCGACTTTGGCTGCCTGGAGTTAAAACCGAAGACAATTTGGATACTCGCAGATCAGGTCGCAGTAAAGCATTCCAAACATACCAGCTCATTTGAATTCTTGTCTATCTCAGACATTTCTCAACCACTTTGGCAAAGATTATAACAAACAAGCCCCTTTTAAATTCCCTCACCCCTCCCAAAAATTACCCAGAGTTTTCAAGTTCCAGCAAAATATTTTTAAAATCTAGGAAGCACCTAGGAGTGCCTGCAAAATATTTCTGAAGAAAATACTACTTCCAGAAATATTCTTAGAAATATTTCTGGGTGAATGCGACCCCAAAACATCCCTTAAAAAGAACTCGAGGATCTCAAGCCCACGCTACAACGCACCCAAGACGTCGTCATTGGTGTTGAAGACCTTCAGAAGCATTGGCTGTTCCCCGGGGGCCCCTAGCAGGCCAACGAACTGGTAGATCCGCCTGAAACCGACATAATCGCAAACGTCAAAAACGCACGGCACGATCTCAAAAACGTGCCTCAACAACGACTGCGCCGCGAGCCCATTTTCTTTCCCTTGTGCCATCATACGCACTGCCACCCGTATGATTGGTCCATCGACTCTTCAACATTGTACTCACGAAGGGATCATCAGCCTGAACACGGGTTTGGTGAGTATCAATGGGTGTTTCAAACCATAAAACAAAAACCTGGAAGTTCACTTCAGAAAATACCCTTTGAACGTCACCGGAACCTCTGTGGCGAGTCGTATCCAGACACTGTTTTCAGCACTGTTTGCGAAAAGAATTTAAGGAGCTCATATTAACGGCATTAGCGCACACGTATGAGGAAGAGAGAAGGGACAGAAAAGAGCGCTACTCACAACTGTATTTACAAAGATGAAGAAAAGAAAGAACATCGTTCAGCTCCCCATAAAGATGAAAAAGGAAGAAGAGGAAGCAGAAATATAAAACAGGAATATAAAACACAAAGTTGGGTGTTCCCTCGCGCGCACAGGCTTGATACACTGGTTCTTTGATTAAACCCTAAAACCTTTTTTGGCTGTGCCTTCGTTGTCGTGGTGCAGGGTGTGTTTGCATGTCTTCGCTCGCGCCTGGTCACCCGTGTCAGGGGGGAGACGAACACATCATCCATGGTCGGCTGCCGCTGGGTCGTCGTGCCTGATGTCTCGCGGCACCCGTGACTCATGCGAGTTCTGCATTGTCCGTCTTAAAAAGTCTGTTTCCTTGCTTGTCAAGGCTACCGATGCAACACTAATGCATTTAGTAGCTGCGGATATGATGTAGAAGGCTTCTACCACTTCGCGGGTCATTTTATCCTTGTGCCTCTCTAGGGTTATTGTTTCCCCGAACAGCGGATTACAATTGCACTCCTTGCAATGTGTTGCAAGATGGCCTCCCACTGTGGCTCTCAAAGAATAATCATGCTCGCGAAGTCGGTCGTTAAGACACCTGCCTGTTTGCCCTACGTAGACCTTGCCGCACGAGAGTGGAATCTTGTATACCACGCCTGAAGTGCACGGAACAAAAGGTTTAGCATGTTTTTTTGTGCACCTCTGTCTTGTGGCACCTTCGGCTTGCGAGTTGACTATGGAGCAAATTTTGCTCATTTTTTGCGGGGCTGAAAATACCACTCGGACCCCATACCGACCTGCCACGTTCTTTAAATTGTGTGACGTCTTGTGAAGGTACGGGATTACCACCGGTCTTGTCTTTTCTACATCTTGTTTGTTGGCTTGGAGGCCTTTTGCCCTTTTCAACAAGGTGTCCGCTACATTAGCCAGTAGTGGTAACGGATAGCTGGCTTTTCTGAGTCTTTCAACCTGCATCGAGAAGCTGGCTTCCATTGTGTGGCAACATGATTTCTTCAGCGCGGATCCTTTTAAGGAGCTCAGCGATATTTTCCCAGGGTGCAACAACTGGTTAGCGCGAGAGTGCAAGAGTGAATCGGCAAGGCTGTGCTGGGTTCCTTATCTCTCACCCTCGTTATCTCTAACATTCAGCCTGGAATGTTCGAGGTTCAAAAGCTCGAGAGACTGACTCAGCAAGGTCATGTTGGCATCCTTATTTATTACACTTGGGGTAAGAGTAAACAGGAATCTTCTAGAAGTACAAAGAAGCGTTTCCTCTCGGCCATGCACGCGGCATAATGAAACGGGCAGTCTTAAAGTTGGCTCGCACACTCGCATTTGGGAGTAGCCGAGCGCGACGCTACCACTTGCGACTGCTTACAGCGAGAGAACACGCTGGCACACCACTGGTGCCATCTGTCAAGCAGCCCCAAAACAATTCCAACCTGCGTATGACTAGATTAAAGGTTTTCCAATATTTGCGAAGACAAACGTATGTACTATCTAATGAGAAATGGTTGCTTATAACATTGTCGGAATCGCAGTAGGCTTGAGATAATTAAAACCCTGATATTTCATGCTTCCGTTTAATTCAAACAAATTTAAAAATTTTGGTTAGCTTGCTATGTTTGCAATGTAATTTAAAAGCCACTTAATTCGAACAGCGTTTTCGTGAAATTAATATTTTTTGCTCTCACGGCCCCAGTGAGCGCGCTTCTTACCGAGTACCGCTACACCAAGGAGAAGCAACACCAAGGAGCTCTGGAAGAACAGTGGATGAACAAACTTAATTTTGTTTTGAGGTGTTATGTGGTGTCTAAACAGTCCACAATAGACAACAATTTTGAGGGATGAATAAACTGCTCTCATACATTTCACCATATTTCAGATGGCACCTGCTTATGATTAGTAGACATGCAAAAAAAAAAAAAAAAACATTGAATATCTGCATTGCTTGTAGCCATTCATATAAAAAATCACAATTTCATCTCGCATTATGTTTAGATGAATTTCTGATAACTCAAACTCCCGGTAATTCAAGCAAAATTCGTGGCTTCCCGGAGTTTGAATTAATGACAGTCTACTGTATTTCAAGTGCACGGTGAAAGAATGGCACCCGACGGTGGTGCCAGCACGTTTTCTCGTTGTAAGCAGCAAAACAACCGTTGCAATGGATGCACTCGTTGGCACAGAAATGCAAATGCGTGAGCCAGCCATAACGGACGGACAGCGCTTACCGTGGAGTGCTGACGACGACAAAGCACTTTGGCTCCGCCCCTCCGGAGTTGAAGTGACGGAACTCTAGGCCCATGATTGGCCCGATGCTCGTGTCCTGGCTTAGCTGGTACACCTGTTTGAGGAACAGAAAATGTAGGCTCTCGCTGCACTGACCATTTCAGCTGCTTATTAGATTAAAAGAGATAGCGAATTCTGATTGCTAGTGCCCTTTAATGCGAAGAAATGGTACAAGTGAGTCCATTGTGCTCAGCGTCTTTTGTAAATCCAAATCTAAGACTGTCAAGAATATTTTAAAAACTGATTTTAGCACTCATTGACACTTTTGATGCGGAGCTAAAACAAGCCACTGGTGCAAGTTTTCAGCCTTCCCACTGTGTCGAGCCACCTTTAAAAAATATTTTGAGCAACACATCTTCTTAAGCATTGAATCAAAATATTTATTTTATGTAACTTTTTTTTAAACAATTTATTTATCCATTTCCTCTTCACCAATCACTAATTTTGGTTGTAACATTCTGGGTATTTCAGCAATGACTTCCAAAGTCCCTAGAAATAGAGTGGGCGAGAAAAACAATCAACACTGTGCGAACAAACTGCCAGCCACGGCGGGCGTCATTTCCCGTGACATCTCCCGGCGGTCTGCAAGAAGTGGAAGCTTACGTTGCTGTTTCAGCGCTGTAACGCTTGTGAGAGTGTAGTTGCAAAGTATGAGGCGAGTCGCTCAGTATTGTGTGGTTTCCGGTTCGTCGATTAGATATGACTGATGCAGTTTCCAGATGACAGATGCATATTCAAGCTTGGGTAGAATGAGAGGTGAATAGTATGCAATTAGTATTGTGTCCCGTGTTGCAAGGTAGAGGTGTCGACTCAGGAAACTGAGGGTTAATAATAATAATAATAATGTTTTTTAGAGCGCAGCTCTTAGGCGCCCGTTTCCGGCTTGAGCGGCGTCGCCGTCGCCGTCGACGTCGCCGTCACCGTCGGTGTAACCAAGGTCACCCCAAGGTCACATGACCCCTCCCAAGGTCACCCCAAGGTCAGGTGACCTTGGGGGTCACGTGACCTTTGGAGGGGGGGTGACCTTGGTTACCCCTCTTAAGGTCACGTGACCCCCCGAGGTCACGTGATCCCTCCTAAGGTCACCTCAAGGTCACGCGACCCCCAAGGTGACCCCCCAAGGTCACGTGACCCTCCAGGTCACGTGGCCCCCTCCCCGAGATCACGTGACCCCCCCCCTCCACCCCCCCTCGAGGTCAGGTGACCCCCCCGGAGCATATTAAAGAATGAGGGGAGGAGGAGGAGGAGGGGTCTACCCTCCCCTCAGTACCCTTCCCTCCTCCTCCACAAGAGCTGCGCTCCAGTTCGGTGTTACAGGGAGTTGTAAACGGCTTTCACTTTTTTATTAACTTTATAAATACATATAAATATTGCTGGCCTACAAAAGCAGTATCCTGCTTGTGTATCCTGTTAGCCTTTGCAATGATGTACTCTATGTAAGGCTCCCATGAAAGATTGGAGGTTCCATCCATCCTACGAGAGAGGCGAGGCAATAGCTTCACTCCTCGGCCACGCGGGGAGAGAACCGCAGGGTGCAAAGATGCGCTCCTATAGAAAACCGAAACCTAGAAATGCGAGTTCAAACCGAGTTTTCTTTTGGAACGCATAGAAATACTGTACACGTCTTAAATATTTCTAAAATTAGTTGACATGGTTCCGATTGGAAACTCGGAATGTTTCTAACCAGATCCATACGTCTATCTTCACCAAATAAAAAAGATAATTAGTAAATTTCAGTCGATTATTTAGCTAATTAGCATGCTTTCTGCAATCTTTGACGTCTCCCATACCTGGCAGTTTGTTCCCAAAAAGAGTTCCTTTTTCTCTCAATGCCTATTTTCCAAAAGGGTTCCAAAAATCCCTATTTTTAGGGATTTTTAACGCCTTTGCCAAACACCGGGTATATTTGAGAAACTAACACCATGGCAACAGCCGAATGGATGAGTGAAAATATTTCTTAAAAGCGACCACTAAAACTTTAAATAATATTTTAACAAAAAGAAAGATTCGAGAGAATCGCCAGGCTCCGACGAGAATCGACTCGTTTGTGGTGATCAAAAGCCTCTGCTAGAAGTCTGGGCCTAAGGACGTACCAACTTGCAGTACTTCTCCGGCGTAGCTTGGAGAAAGAAACGGTCGTCCGCCGACGCCAGCTCCACCTCGAAAATAAGACCTGAAAAGATGCTCACTCGTTGACCAACCGCGGAAACTCGAGAGCCACAAAACATACTGGACGTTCGTTTGAAGCTTTACAGATTTGTTTTAAAAAATGCCACAAATGCAGCACTAATGCAATTTGTTCAGGTGAGTTGTAAAGCCAGGGGGACAACAGGCAGGTGGTTAAGTTATACGACCAGGGTGGAACATACGATGAGAAAACGCGGACGATGAGAAAAGAAAAAACCGCGTAGGTGCACCGTCGCACAGAGCGGCAACTTTGGCAGTCCACAGTGCTTCCCGCGTGGTTTCTCCCCTATTTGCTTATTTAGTGGTTTTCAACGACGCTCAGCAAGTTTTGTTGTTAGAACCCCACATATATTTTTTCCCAGTTAAAAGAGTTGATTACCATATTTTTATTAATTAGCCAACAAACTCACCGCGACAGTTAGCCCCCAATATCGTGTCTCCACGGCCGTACAACTCGCCCGCACCTACCGCATTAGTGCAGCTTTCTTGGCTTTTCTTAGACGAGTCGGTACAGCCTGAGAGAAAGCACCAGACATTTCAGAATGTTTGAATTCATTCAAATTCAGAACTCTAGTTTCCAGGTATATTTCTGAAGGGTCCCCCCGACAAAAAAAGTTGGGGCTCCAATCCACGCTGTAAAGGTGGTCGGCCAGTGATTCATAATTGGGATACCATATCAGCTATGTTTGTTGATGCGTTTAGCATATCCTCGGACAAATCGGGGACTAGCAAAAAAATGGCAGGCGAGCCCACATGTGAAAGCTGCCTCGTCGTCGCGCGTTTGCTGCGCATTCTCTGTGTTGCCCTTTGATTGGCGTGCCACTCGCTGCATTTCCACGCCCCAAAGAGGCATTTCGGAGCACTTGTTCTCCGAATAGAGAGCAGCTTGATGGGGTGTGGGAGCCCGTTACATGGGCAGTGGTAAAGAAGAAAAAAACATTTGGGACAATCTAGACATCATATAGGTTCTAATATTGCGAAACAATCGCAACGAAGTGTGTGTGTGTTTGTTAAGCAGACATTCAAACCTAAGATGCACACACATGGACTTTTATGGCAGAAACGAGGAAAGATACAAGTGGTTTCCGCTACCTTTAGTGGTGCCGACGAGGATGTATCCGGTGGACGTGTTTTCCGGAGCGTTGTTGTAGTTCCACCCAACCGCGCTGACGACATGGCCCTGCGTCGAACAAGCTCGTCTTAGGAAACAAAGACATCCGCTTTTATGCTTACAACGACACATTGGGGTCCCATTTCGACCACCGTGACAGCGATCAATCCGATTTGATTCTTGCGGAGCGAGCTAGAATATAGTTAGGTGGTGGAATGTCCGCTATACTTTCTTCACCACCAAGTTGACAGGGTGGTGGAGAGAGAGAATAAACATCTCTATTATCCAAAAGAGGCTTTGGGAGGCGTCCTTGTTCCAAGACACCTCGAGCTCGGGTCGCGTCCCAAACTTTCGCGACCGGCCGCAGCCAGTCCTCGAGGTCGGAACTGGCCGAGGCTCTCTTCTGGAGCTCGGTGGTGAGGTAAGGGTCAGGGGGCTCTAGCGGTGTTTGTGTGCAGCCTCCTACCATATGCCTAAGGGACCCAAGTTCTCCGTAGAAGCGACATTGCGGGGAAAATCGTTTAGGGGCTATGAGAACGATTTCTGGTGGGGTGGGGGAATGTGTTAGCCCGTAAAGCTCAGAGTAGCCTCTCCCATTCCCCGAGTAGCGACTTACGTGCAGGAGGGTATCGTACGACAATCTTTTGCCATAGGATCACGCTCCCACCCCTACCCACATGCAGAACGGGGTCGGGCGATGAAAAGCTGGCGGTTGATTGGTCAGGCAAGCTCGTAGCTCCCACCGCCCCGTCAACTTCGGGGGTGAACGTAGAGTATAATGGGAGCGAAGAATAGGGGTTTGCCTGCTCCAAAGTGTCATTTGCGGATGACGAAAACAAAACAAAAATACTTCTATGTGTTATCCGTCAACAGAGGAGTCGAGGAAAGCTGCGTAGCCTGCTACAAATCGAGCATGACGGACAACAGGATCAAACGAAAGCGTAAATTGCGAACATGTAGTGATTTACGAAAAAAGCAATTGACAACTCACTCTTCCATTGCGAATTTTAATTTTTTTTTTTTTTGGTATAGAAAAAGGGATATCCACCGATGAAATAGAAGCACTTGGGACAAGGACATTACAGGCTGTGGGACCGCTATGACCATTTTTCGGTTGATGAGAAGTTCCCACCAAAATACTTCCACATCATAAATTTATAAAAAAAATAAAAAAAAATTGAAAAAAAATGCTTGTTTAGAAAAGAGCCGGGATATCAGAACCAATTAGCAGACGAGAAACTTCTCGCTTTTGCCAGGAACCAAAATCAGACCCCTACAGTGCCACGACATTATGCGTGGCACATGACCCAGAGTGAAATCTTCCAGCTGATCATTCCACGGAACATAAAAATTAAGGTACCATGAAGGCAGCCAATCAAGCTCGAAATAAAAAAAGAATTTTTTTTATTTTCATATTTTTGGAAGCACATGCAGGGACAGCCAGTCACCGATCTACCCTTATTGACTGTCATACTGTGCTGTACCAAAAAAAAAAAAAAAGTTTTCTGTTCCTTATTTTTGAGGAAAACTAAGTTGACCTCCGAAATTGAAATATAATGACTAAACCAGTGAAATTGCACATTCGAGGGAAATACGCTTGATACATGCAATTGTCGAAACTTGCAGTCTGTTTTGCACCGGAAACCTTCCCAAACCTAAACTCCATGCACTTCCATTCTCCCAGTGGAAAATCAGAAACAGAGAAGAAAAACAACCAACCTTGAGCTTCTGAATGGACAAGGCCTTGGCTGCGTTCTGACGTAGGTAGTAGTTGTCGAACGAGGCGTCCGACTCGGCCTGAACCACGCTGACAAAGAGGTGCTTTCCCAGCGGATCCAGGAACATCTGGTAGATCCTCGCCGAGTGGCCCTTGTCACCCAGCGAGCGGTTGAGGTCGATCTCTGCAGGGACGGTGACAACCGGGATCACCACCCTTGTCTCGTCAGACAGAAACAGAAGGCGTCATCGAACTTTCTCGAGAAACGGCATCTCTCGTCTTCCCCGGGGGCACCAACACCGCCCCAATCTTTTGCCAAAGCCTTTTGTCCACCAAGTACCCAAGACTAAGACGGGCGTTTCAGCTGAACTCGGTGTAGTGACAGTGGGCAATCCGTACGTTATGCATAAAGCTGCCCGTTTGCCCGTTGCTGAGCATCCACAAGCCGATCATGAACTGCAGTTCTCCTGGTTACAAGGGGCTAGCAAAGTTCTATTCTTTCCTCGGCATCTTTCCATGCACCCTCCGTCCTTTTTGATCCCTCCATGCTCACACTTTCTATAGTGTCAAAGTGAAGCTGGTAAGCAGACAATGCCTGTGGAGCAAGTGCTTTGAGAGTAATGCCATCTGGCTAGATCCTGATTGGCACTATATTTTGGAGGAGTCTCAACTTTATCCAACGGTGGTGCTTCAACTGGAGCACCGCCATTGGCAACACTTCGTGGAAAAAAGAAGCAGACTCGAAACACGTGCGCCGAAAATGTTGCTAATGGTGGTGCTCTACCGCTGAACCCCCTACGTAAAAAGAAGCACTCACCGTCGGGGTGGTTGGGGTCCCTGAGGTCTATGCGAAGCAGAACCTTGTGGGCCATCGCCAAGACCAGCATCTGATTGCTGGCCACGAGATGGGTGAGCGGCTGGGACGGCCTGCACAGAGTTCAGTGCCGAGAAACATTCACTTAGGGTCAAAGGTGGACTTAGCATTTCGCCACCCTAAACAGCTTTTCACAGTGTCACCACTGACGACGGAGTCCGTGCCACGTCACGCAGTGAAGCCCTGTTTGCTCCGAAGCATTCTAATATGCCCGCGGCGTCTTGGCCACGTCCGCGCCTTTCCGCGGTCGTGTTTCTGTATGTCGGTCGGAGTAAAGATTTGGCAACCCGACATTCGAAAACCTTTTCACGTCCAGCGTCGCTCCGTACGCGTTCTCATGTCGTTCGACTCGCAGGGGTTGCTCGGAGCTCAGGTTTAACCGTGTCCCCTCCCCCAGCGACGGCGGTAACGCACAGCTACGTTTTTCGTCTATCTGCCCCGAGATATGCCTCTACGAAGCGCTTGTGCGCTCCGACGGTCCAGAAATCACTACGGGACGACGTTCACCGGAGCCAGTCGTTGACGAAATCTACGTGAGAAGTATTTCTTGTTCTTCTTATTGCCAGATTGTTCCTCGCTCACTGGCGGATAGAGTAGTCGCACAGGGATTGAGATGATTGCTGTTGTTTTTGCCGGCTCACGGAGGGGATCTGTGTTCTCGATCTCTGGGTCCCTGTGTAAAAAACCGTTAGCACCGGCTGTGGTCCGAACGTTTTGTATAATGCTGTGCTCAGGTAATCTAGTAAGCTAACACTGACAAGAAATTAAGGTTGGCTGCTACATAGAATGCCTACGCAAAATGCTTCCGCTAGGAGTCGCACGCTTCCAATAGGGTGAAACGCACCCCAAGTGAACTACTGGGCATTGGGGGAGAGAAGCGAAGACTTCTTTACACCCCGGAAATAAAGTGCCCATTGTCTAGAGTTTGGACTTCTCCAGAATGTGATGCTATCTAGCAGCTGGGATAAGATGCCAAAGTTTCGAAACTAAGGGTTACTGAAGTAAAATTCTAGAAGTGCAAAACTGGCTTTTGCCCGTGAGAAGATGCCACCGGGCAGCAAAGAGAGATAGGGTGCAAACGTTTTTCACTGCATCTCTCAGATGGTGGCAATGTCTACGATGATGGTGGTGTTGGCATCTCTTCTCTAGTTAATGATTCTCGCTTCAAACAGATTGTGTCGACAAATATACATACACGAATACAGAAGTAACAAGTGGACGCGAACACCGGAGCAGACAACAGTGGTGCCACCTGAGATCGGGATCTTCTAGCAGACAAAACCAGTTTTTCGCTCCTAATGTTTTACCGTAATAATGGTGAGCTTTAAAACTTTGGCATCGCATGGCAACCGCTGGCACTACATTCTGGCGGAGTGCAAGTCTTGGGCTATGCACAGTTGACTTTTGTGGTCAAAAATGCTATTTGTATTTCATGCTTGACACCCTGTACACGAAACTCAAACTACTTTGAAAGAATAGTACTAGCACTTTTTCAATGCAGCTCTCGACAGAAACCTCCCTTTTGTCTGAGCGTGGCTGTAATGCAGAAGACTGGTTCAGACATCTGCATTTGATAGCAGCCGACTGCCTTACAACTGCTTATGATAAGACGGTTGCCACGGCAACCGAAATCCACGCAACACATTGTAGTAGAATGCAAGGAGTCGCAACGCAGCCGACCCCACTTAAACGCAAATATCCAAGCCAGCCTCAGTGTGCAATTGTTCAAATGAATGACGAAAAAATGACGAGAGCTCACGTGAATGTAATCCTGGTCTTCTTGAACATGGGCGCCTCATCTTCCAGGCACGCATTGATGTATCCCGTTTGCAAGTTCTGCAAGTTTCGCAGGGATCACATTATCGTAGCAGACAACTCAAGAAGGGCAGGGTGGATACATTTTTTTATCTATGCTGCACCGCACCACACCTCTACGGCAGAAAGCACCATGTTTTTCAATGTATAATGCATGCATCATATGTAAGACAACACTTCTAAAGAAGCAATCTAAAAGTGATACAGATGTTCTAAATATCATGTTTTTGGCCAAAATGAATTAACTTGCCTATACAATGTACTCAAAGCGCTTCTAAGGGTTACCGTAATATACCGGGAAGCACCCACTTCATTAAAGCGCCTACTATGACCAAACAACCTCCCATGTCTAGATTAATCCGGTGTTCAGTGAAAGTGGGATGCATGCTCTTCCGGTATTTTACGGCACGTTGATGTCACCTCATGTCTCAGTCATATCATAACCCACAAAGCCAGTAGTGTAAATATTAGATATAATGCAATATGTACGTTGTTTCGACGCAAAGGGAGAATGGATGTGTCGGAATTATGCGTGCTACACGCCGAATATCATGGAGGCATACCGAAGGCTATCTATGCGTGGAAAATACAAGAGTCCTTATTTATGATTGTGTACCGAGGGGCTGATTTTGCTGTCGAGTAAAAAGGCAGGCCAATATTACTGCAAACCGCTCGTTTTACTGTCATTTTCAAGGAACTTGTCTGGTTAATATTTTTGGGTACAAACATAAAACATAACTAGGTCAGATGCAACAGGAAACAGCTACATCAAGTTAAAGACCAGTGCTGTAAATAAGAACTAAATTAAAGAAAAAAGAATGCCGAATTTTTTTATTGTGTAGCTGTAGCGAAATTTAATCTTTCAATGCAAGTCATACCAAGTTGACGGTTCGTGGGAAGCAAAGCTGGCGTAGCTTCAAATTTGCAGCAGCCCCGCACTGCTGCGAGAGCAAGTAGCTTTGTCTTTTGCGCCTCATTTGCAAGTGCTCGCGAAACTAACTTTGACAGCGTTGGAGCACTGTGGAAGCTAGGCAAGCTTTGACAACGTAGCATAAAATAGTTGACGACAAGCATAGTTGTTTTTTTCTTTTTATCCAAGTTGTTTTATTTTTAATAATTATTTAATATTTATAATATTCGTTTTATTTTGAAGGGGAAGAGAGATCTATACGAGATATTACTCGTTGCATTTCGTAACGACTTTCTGTTTTTAACTCACCAACTCGGGGAATGCGCTGCGGCCGCTGCTCAGGTAGCCTGCGGACTGTGATGTGACCTCTTCATACTGATCAAAGAGTGACGCCATTTCTTTGTTTTTGTCGCCTGGTTTCCTCGGATGGAGAAGGCTCAGCTACCAACTGCAATCCGAATACACTCAACTTTTTCACTCAAACTTGGGCAGGGGGGCGTTTTCCAGCGCAATCACATTGTGAGAGTAGCTGGTCACTTTCAAGGTCGCTTTGAGCGAAGGAAGTCCTGTTTCCCTGCGCAGATATGCCCCACCTGCTTTCCTGGTTAATGTTCGATGTCTTATATGTCGTTTTCTTTGCAAGAACACAGAAATTCACCGTTTACATTCCGTAGCACGATAGAGAAACAAATACTCTGCAAGCCGCCATCTTGATTGCATTGTAGGCAGACGAATGGTCGACTAACGCTAAATTCAGCGGAGTCCTGCGATTAAAAGCAGCCTTCAGTGAAGTAGTGTATTTGCATTAACATACCGTTTAAAGTGTGTTACGCTGGACTAAATTTATTTCATTAAAAATGTGATACAACTTTTGGCCTTTCTGTGGTGCCGCAACCCTCCAGGGTTGAAAAAGATATTATTATTATTTGAATATTGTTACTCAGACGCCCCTGCTTAAAGTTGGTTACGTTTTCGGGTAGCTAGAAAGCGCTAGAGCACTATATAGCTCCTACGGAGCAGAGTAGCGCAATCCTTTGAACCTCGTGTTTTGCCGACAAGATGGCCGACAGAGCGGCTCGGCGCGAGTCACGTGGTACTCAGGGTTCCAAGAGGCGGCCCGCCCTATGGGAGAATACATGGAGATCGATACAACACGGCTGATTAAAAAATGAACGGCGAGTTCACACTTTTCAAAACTAGTCTGTCGTGAAGTTAGTAAAGCACTAAACACTTTATCAAAGTTTTAATAATATCGGATGCGTGTGCAAATTTTGAGAAGGCAATTTCCAAGGCAATGGCGTTTGAAGCAGACGATTTTTGCTCGCAGCGGAGATGGGCTTTTCGGGTTGGCCGGAGCGGGTCACGTGAATGGTGTGACGTCGCCGTGTCGTCTGCTGCATGATGCCGCTCAGGCAATTTTTAAAAACAAGTTACGTCCTTGTATGGCACAAAACTTATCGCATATTATTGTAAAATGTTTCATTATTATGTCAAAAATGATTTCCATTCCGCACATCCCCACGCAACTGAAGAAACAACGATTTTCTCACGTTCTCCATGCATTTCTGACCGCAGTTGGAACCTCCGGGCGTTCGCCGCTAGTCGCCGAGAGACGGCGTTCTAGATTGCGCTACTCTGCTCCGAAGGAGCTATATAGTGCTCTAGAAAGCGCAACCGACGCTACGAACTGATCGAACTGCCAAAACTGAAACGTCACTGCATTCTTCATCATACGGTACACTACGCTACCTATCATACACTAAAGCAATTAAGCCAGTGCACGTGTGTTTTTAGCAGTGTTGGGGAAAGTACACCACAAAAGTACCTGAAGAAAAGTGCAAAGTAAATGAGAGGTTATTTCCTTCAAGTAAAATAGTAGGTACACTGGGTGCAGTATACTTGAAGTAAAGTGCTATAAATACAATTTCCTTTCAAGTAAAAGCGCCATAGTTTCCGGGCTATATTTCGCGGACTATACATGCTTAAAAGTTGAAATTTCTGGCTGTGCGGACAATCTACGTGTGCTCATTCTGACGAGACATGGCGGAATTTGTGAATGAAAGAGTATGTTAATGATGATCTATGTGTAACACAAGCTTCTTTGTGAGCTAAGAAAGCAGACATTTGTATGAGAAGATTTTCCTGTCGACTAAGGACTATACACGGCGTGCGGACTATGCACCGGGTGCGAACTATCTAAACAAGAACTTTAATTTTGGCCCCGAATTTACTATAGCCCGGAAAATACGGTACTTTTTAACGTGATCTTTCACGATGGAGAGAGCGTGGCTAGAAGAGAGCATGACGTCCGCCCCGTAGCTGCTGCAAGCATTTCCTTCGTAGAGGTGGAGGACAGTCCTCTCCTAAAAATTTTAACCTCCTCGCTTGAGCTGACCGAGCGCGAAGTAGCGAGAGTACAAAATGCTGCGGGAAAGCCGCTCCCAGTACAAGCGGAGCGATGCCTCTTCTGCTCGCGTTTCTGGTGAGAGTAGAATATCCCTCCAAGTATTGTTTTTCTAATTGACAAAACATAATTTTTTCAAAACAAATTTAGCAAGAAACAATTAGGTAATGCACTTTGAAGTTGTACTTTCCTTGCCAAGTACCAGAAAAATTACTCTAAGCAAAGTACAGGTACATACTCAAAGAACATACTTCAAGTAATTACAATACAAGTTTTCTAAACCTACTTTAAGTACAATGTACTTAAAGTATTTCCAAACACTTGCTTTTAGTGCATGTCGATGTTTACATGTTCCTAGACTTTAATGGCGCTGTGACCTGTACTCTCGGCATTTTAAGCGCTAGCGTCGAGTTATTTGTCTTCGTGTTTTGTTTTGCCAGGCGATTTATCATTGGGTCAAAAGACTACCCAGTCAATATTTTGCTACAGCGTCAGTCATATTTTTTAATAAAGTAAAAAAAGGCAACTGCTGGAAACTGAAACTGGACTAGGGAGGAAAAAGAAATATAGAGGAGAACGTAGCCAAAATTCACGTGGCTGTGCTACTTCTTTTTTTTCAATTAACGTATTTGCAGTTTTTTAGAAGCCACAAAAATTGGTATAATAATTATTTTTCTATTTTTAGCATTGAATGTGTGCCTCCAGTGATCCACAACTTTGACTACATTTGGTGGTTGTGTCTAAACCGTAGAAAACGGCACGTGACCACGGAGAAGAGAGTGAGCGCGACTCAAACCGGCCAGTTCTCGATGGACGATTTTCGGGCTGAAAGAAAACGAATTTCGAGCCCAAATTGTGTTCTGGGTAGTAGGGCTCTCATGATCCCGCAACAAACTTCGTCTGCAGCGCGCGCAAAAAAAAAAAAAAAAAATTGCACGGTTGGGTGTAGTCACGTGACTTCCGCCCACTCCACTCTCTCCTCTCCTCTTCTCTGTGCGGTGTGAGGGTTTCGGTTTCGGTTTCGAGCAGTTGCGTTTTTTAGCTTCATTAAAAATATACGTGACTCTGTCGAAAAATATTAATAGGGTAGTATTTCAACACCATAATAAATCGCCTAACCAAAATGAAAAAAATATTTTTTTTTTTTTAAGTGTCAGTGTTTTTTTAGATCGGATTGTGTGGGTGGCGTCACCTCCTGATAGACGCAGCGAGCAGACAACAGTCGAATACAAGGTACGTAAGTAATAGTGTGTATTTGTAAATACACTCCACCACGTACCATTCAAGGCATCGATTCGCTTCGCAGACCAACCCGAAGAGTTGGCGGGTATGACGAGTTATGAGACGTGTGGCTTGTGCAAGAAAAAGAAAATTATTAGTTGTGGCCACGGTGGTGGCGGAGAAAAGAAAGGAACCGAATTAACACCACAAAATTCGGGCCAGAACTGTTTCTTTTTTTGTTTTTTTTTTGCTTGTCGTTTTTTAGCTCTGCATCCGATGGACATGTTGCTCTTTGCTGCTTTGTCACCACATATTGAAGCATCCCGGAGTGCGCGAGGCGGGAACTCTCGATTGCTGGGCCTGCTCGGACAAAGGTGTGCTCATACCGTGTCCAGCCCGTCTTGTCCTTCTTGCGGAAGAGCAGTGCGCACCGATACCCACAGACGTCAGCGCGACGTGCGCCTCGGTGGCCTCGGTGTAGTATTTGTATATAGTCCATAATGCCGACACTGAAAAAGAAGCCGATGCCGCGCGTGAAATAAACAGGGCCGGGCACCCGCGCTCGGGGTGCTCGAGACTCAGAGACCATGACCAGCAGCCGGCGGTTGTCATTCCTTCTTTGAGCTTCAACGACGGGCCCCTGGCCGCCGCTTGATCAGAAATACTACATTTTGGCGACGAGGATGGGATTTTGTTAACGAACTCCGCGCCGCGGATGGGTGGTGGCCGACACTGGCAAGTACGCTAATCCATTTATCGCTAAGTTTACTTCGTGCTCAACGTTCGAGCCTGTCCCAACATGGCGGCTGTTCCATTCCCAGCTCCCCCGCCATTTTTGCCAACGCCAGGCACCCCCATACAGCCTTGGAAGACATGGAAATCGAGTTTTATGAATTACCTCGATGTTATTGAAGCGGATCAGTATTCGGCTAAGCGCAAACGTGCCTTACTTATAAGCTTGCTTGGCCAGGAGGGCCAGCGAATAGTAGCTACATTTAACATGGCAGGACCCGCCGTGAACGAGAACGTAACAGAGTTTGACGTTTTATTAACGGCTCTTGACGGTTATTTCGCTGCTGGTACGAACGTGGTCCTTGAGCGGAAAAAGTTTCACAGTCGTGTCCAGGCGCCCGGCGAAAGCGTACTGGATTTCCTTGGAGCGCTCCGGCACCTCGGATCGTTTTGCGACTATGGTGACTCTCTTGACGATCGAATCGCGGAGATGTTTTTGACGGGACTTAGATCATCGGAGGTACAGGATCGGTTGATCCGAGAGTCTGTGGGGGCTGCCGCACCGAGCCTCGAACGTGCTGTCTCCCTTGCACAACAGTTCGAGCAGACATCTCGAGACTGCGATATGTACCATCGATTAGGAGCCGGTTCGCGTTCTGGCACATCACAGTTGTCCTCCTCCGTTGATCGGGTTGTCGCTCCGCCCTGTCAAAATGGCCGCTCTCCACAGCAGTTCGTCGCTAACCCTAGTCAAGATGGCGGGGTTTGGCATGCTGTAGGCGTTTCCTACTCACCTTTTCACCAATCTCGGGTACTGACCCGTACCTCGGACCGTCGTTCGGCGCGTGATGCACCTCCGGGAGCACACACTTTTCCGCGTGACGAAGTGCCATGTCAATTTTGTGGCCGTCGGCCCCATCCCCGAGAGATGTGCCCTGCTTCGCGGGCAACGTGTTTCTCGTGTGGCAAGTCCGGGCATTTCGCTAACGTCTGCCGGAGTTACCCGCCTCCACCCGTCGGCAGCGATCGACGTCAACTAGCCTTGCCGACTGGACGTGGCCAATCCTTCGGGCGCCGGTACCAGCGTTCCGGAGCTGGTCATGCCAGCACTCCCATCCATGGCATCGTGACGTTCCCAGACGACGACGACGACGACCTACGACCCAGCGTGTACACTGTTGGGTCTTACGATGAGTCGCCGCAGCCAGCCAGCCGACGACGACAAAACTTCATTGCCGATGTACAGGTAAACGGCATCCCGATGTCTTTGTTAATTGACACTGGATCGGAAGTATCTATCATCTCTGAACCCACCTTCCAAAGAATTACCAGGAATTGTCGAATTCAATTAATGAAACCACCGCGCACTTTGGTGCATTACCTTCAGGGATCCATCCCAGTCTTAGGCTGTTTTCATGCAAATGTCGCTTTCAACGATCGCTTCGCGACCATCCTCTTCTACGTTGTGAGCAAGGGACGTTCTCTGCTCGGCACAGACGCCGTCCGTGATCTCAAGCTTATTTTGTCAGGGGTACAGCTGAAATGTTTTTATATTAATGCAGCTGACTCCCGATCGGCCGACCACGGACATGTGAAATCGGCTGACATCCCGCAGTCACCGCGCACCGCGGGTTCCCCTACTTCAACATCACAAGTTCCGAGCTCATCTGATGCTCCAAGTAGTCCACTCACACCATCATTTTACAAGACTTCAAGTCCTTCTGGTTCCGCTAGCGACCATTTCCCATCATCTTCAAGTGCTCCTTCTTCTGATACTTCAGAACAGAAATCAAAGTCTTCTTCGGTGAGTGATTTCTCCAAACTGCCACCTGGTTTCGAAGAATTTGAAGATCTTTTCAGTTCTGAGCTGGGACTGGTTAAAAATCACACTCATACCGTTACTGTACGGCACCATGTTCCACCCGTACAGTCAAAGCTCCGTCGTTTACCGCTTACTCTGCGTGATGCGGTCACAGCAGAGATTCTGAAACTTGAGCGACAAGGCGTCATCGAGCGCGTTAATGCCTCGGAATGGGTTTCACCTATCGTCGTAGTAAAAAAGAAAGACGGCGGAATCCGGATGTGTGTTGATTTGAGAGCGCCGAATCGAGCTATCGTCGTTGACTCTTTTCCACTCCCACATATCGACGAGTTGTTAAACTCGCTTCGAGGAGCATCACATTTTTCAAAATTGGATTTAGCATCCGCCTACCATCAGGTCCGCCTCGACCCTAATAGTCGCGACCTCACCGCTTTCGTGACCCATGAGGGGCTTTTCCGTTTTAAACGTGTTTGTTTTGGATTAGCTTCCGCCCCTGCGGCTTTCCAACAAGTAATGTCCAAAATTCTCAAAGGCTGTCGAGGCGTCCAGTTCTATCTAGATAATGTCATTGTATATGGGTCAACCCAACAGGAGCACGATCATAACCTGCGAGACGTACTCAAAAGAATCGCTCAGGCAGGAATGAAATTAAATCGAAAAGCTGTTTTTAATGTTCATGAACTTTCTTTTTTGGGTCATCGTTTGTCTGCAGAAGGCATAGCACCCCTTCCGTCGAAGATAGACGCAGTCCTCAACTTTCCAGAGCCAACAGAACCTTCACAATTGAAGGCCTTTTTGGGTCTTGTAGAGTATTATAGTAAGTTTCTTCCACATTGTGCCACGGTCGTTGAACCCCTTCGTCGTCTTCTACGCAAGGGTGTATCTTATGTCTGGTCCCCTGATGTAGCTGTTAGTTTCAAAAATATCAAGTCCTGCATTCAGCAGGCACCAATACTCTCTATGTTCGACCCTACCATTCCTGTCATAGTCTCAACCGACGCCTCTAATTACGGTTTAGGGGCTGTTCTCCAACAACAACACGGACGACAGCTGAAAACCGTTGCGTTCGCGTCCCGTTCTCTCACGGAGGCTGAACGAAAGTATTCTACTGGCGAAAAGGAAGCTCTGTCAATACTGTGGGCTTGTGAAAAATGGCATGTTTATTTGTGGGGTCGGCAGTTCACCATCCGTACTGACCATCAAGCACTTGTCACCCTGATGACAACTCAAGGAACTGGCGTCCGGCCTCATCGTATCAGCCGTTGGGTTGCCAGACTTTTTAATTATAATTTTATCATGGAATTTCAGAAAGGCAGCAACAATCTCGTCGCAGACGCTTTGTCTCGCCTTCCAGTATCAGATACAGAGAACGGCACAGTTTTTAAAGAAGAGGTCGTTTCTATCATCTGTGCTTGCCTTAACCAGAAGGATTTCCAAGAAGCAACTGCTAGAGATCCCGTGCTCCCTCAAGTTATGACGTTTATTTCTTCATCATGGCCAGAGCATAACAAGCTGTCTTCAGAGCTGAAGTCATACTTTTCCGTTCGCGAGCAGCTTTCCGTGATCGATGGACTTCTCTTTCAAGGAGAGAAAATCGTAGTTCCATCTAGCCTTCGGAATCAAGTGATTGAGGTTGGTCACGAAACGCATCAAGGAATTTCGAGGACCACAAGCCTTATTAAAGAACTTTACTGGTGGCCTCACATCTCCATGCAAATTAAGGACTACGTACAGCATTGTACAGTCTGCCAAGCGACCGACAAGCCAGCTAAGTCATCTCCCGCGCCTCTGCAGCCGGTAGAGTTTCCATTACATCCTTGGACCAAGCTTGGCATAGATATCGTCGGCCCATTCGAGCAGGCACCTGCCAAGGAACGATTTTTCATCACTGTAGTGGATTACCACAGCAAATGGCCGGAAGTGGCAGCTGTCTCCAGTGTCACGACTGGTTCGGTCATCAGTTTCCTGAAGTCGATTTTTTCTCGTGAGGGACTACCCCAGGAGATTACCAGCGATAACGGACCTCAATTTACTTCAAGGGAATTTTCACAGTTCCTCGAGACAAATGGAATAAAACACACCAAATCTGCGTTATACCACCCGCAAGCGAATGGTCAAGTGGAAAGATTTAACAAAGTTCTGAAATCTACTATTCAGTTGGCCCTTGTACAACAGCGTTCTATATACGACACAATCATTGAGTATCTTGGTGTATATAGAAGCACACGCCATGCTGCCACGGGAGAAACCCCAGCTTTTCTCTTACATGGTCGCAATCATCGTACACGTTTGCACCTTCAAGGAAGGAATACCAATGAGCCTTCAATCCCACAGGTTGAAGTTCGACAGGGGTTACCGAATAGGGTCCAGGTATATCAGAAAAAAATGAAGCAGTACTCTGACTCACGCAGAGCCGTGAAGGTTCCATCTTTTGCACCTGGAGATTTTGTAAAGATTTTCAAGTCAAAACGAAAAGGCAAAATGCGACATAAATATTCAACTCCGCAGGAGATCCGTGAAAGGATTGGTCCGTCTACATACAAACTCGACGATGGAACAACGTGGAACGCTGAAAGGCTCACTCGAACAACGCTGCAGCCTTCGAAGAAGTATTCTTGGGTTCTAGAGGACAATATTTTCCCCCAATCTCCCTCACCCCTTGCAGTAAATGTTCCTGGCTGCCCTCCTCGTGGGGTTCCTGAGGTTCCTGGTTCAGCGGTTCCACGTGCTCAGGTTGCTGGTGCCACTGGGTTCGGCTTCAAGGCGCCAGATGTTCATGGTCGTGGCTCATCCCCGCCACGTGCTTCTCCGCCATGCATTGACGGAGCTGTTCGCCACCTTCTTGGGCCTGCAAACCCGACTCCTGTTTCATCTAATGGTCCAAGTTCTTCACTGCTTGGACTTGGGTACTGCAGCTCTTTGCCAGACTCCAGTTCAAGCGGCAGATCAGCACGGCCCTCCTCTGTGGACTCCGATGCAGGCGTTACGTCTCCAGTGCATGAGTCCCCAATTGATTCTGCGCCTGATTGTGTTTCGGGTGCTGGTCCTGAGCCCGAAGGTTCAGCTACGCCTAATACAATTGCCGCGTCCACCGCGGATGCTGTTTTTGGTGCACCATCATGCTCATCGCCACCACACCTGACTGCAAGCACGCCTACTGAATCGGGCTTCGCCACGCCTGTTTCAACACCTCTACCCTTGACATTTCAAGTAGAAGGACGCCCAAGACGTCATATACGTTTACCAGAACGATTTAAAGACTATGTCATGAATATCTTGGACATGAGCCCATCATCCACATCTCATGAAATCATGGACATTTGAATCTTTGGACTAATTTTTTTTCTTTTCTTGAAACTTTTGGTGCAGTGTGAAGTGCAATCTTTTTTTTTCAAGAAGTAGTGGTATTTTTTCCCTTTCTTGTTTTTTTTTCTTTTGTGAAGGGAAGGAGGTAACATGCTATGTGGCATTTTCCTCTTTTTTTTTCTGTTTTTTTTTTCTGTCAAGGGAGAGAGAGAATATGTAGTATTTGTATATAGTCCATAATGCCGACACTGAAAAAGAAGCCGATGCCGCGCGTGAAATAAACAGGGCCGGGCACCCGCGCTCGGGGTGCTCGAGACTCAGAGACCATGACCAGCAGCCGGCGGTTGTCATTCCTTCTTTGAGCTTCAACGACGGGCCCCTGGCCGCCGCTTGATCAGAAATACTACACTCGGTAACGGACTCTTTGCGCGCATTGCGGAGGAACACTATAGCTGGCGGTGATGAGGCTGTGGGAGGAGTTTCTGGCGCATTGTATCTGACTATATTCGTTTTCATCTCAAGATACGGCAGCGATTATTACGAAGATCTGTTTGAAGCTGGTCATTTTGACTTTGATACGCCATGGCGACCAGTTCCAGTGGCAGCGGCGAGAGCGCCTCGTAGGATGACGACGGGATGGGCGATGAAGATGCTGAGAACGCTCAGACGCAAGGTCTGGAATGGTGCGTGTTGACGCTTGACGGGAGGCACTCACTTGATCGAATGACGTTTTAGCGAACGCCCACGTTTTCCCGAACGACACTTTAGCGAATAGTCGGACGCCGCGCAGCGGCGTTTTCGGGTGGGCTAAATGGGTTCACATTTTTGTAATGAGCCGCCGCAGACTGTCGCCGCGAAGCGGCGTAAGCGCAGCGCGGCGGATGGGTTCAAGCGCGCACCCGTTATTCGCTAAAACGTCGATTCGCTCAAATGTCGCTGTTCGCTAAAACGTCAATCGCTCATGTGAAGCGACGCCGATGCTACAAGCTATGCCATATTTGAGGGCGACGTTTAGAGCGCATGCTCACAACGAGTTCACAATCATAGGCTGCTATGAGCGTTTCCAAGTTAGGTCCGCCATCTTCCTCAGTGGGATGCGCTCTTGGGCGCGGCCATAATACGATTACGACGCCTTAGCAAGACTTTGTAATCGGATTAGGACTCGTCCAAGCGCACCCCCCAGCCGACCAAGATGGTAGCGCCCTGAAGCCGGACTTGCAAACCTGTATTGGAGACGAAGTCAAACAGTCACGAAATTACCGGTACGCCTCAGCTGTCGGGACATCAAACCGAATTTTCTTGTCTGTTTTTGATCAGCGATATCGAAGATTACGATTCGAAGGCCGCTCCTCATGCGACCAGAGCACTGGTCAGAGCGAAGCGCTTGTGCCCAGGCCGTGCATGGCGAGGTTCCATTTCTTTGTTATGCTGCGTTAGTAAACACTAGAGTCACCATATAAGCTACGCTTTATTTAGTCACTAAACAGCTTTATTATTATTATTATTAGCCTTATTATTATTATTATTATTATTATTAGCTTTATTTGCACTTTATTTAGTCACTAACTAAAGCGTAGGGTGTCGCGAACCGGCCGAGGTTCGAGTTCGACCAGGTTCGACTTGTTCGAACTTTTAGTGAAAATTTCGACGAACCTTGTATTGAGGTTCGACTCATGTGCGCATGCGCGACAGGCTGGCCAGTTGGCTTCGGATTGGATGGCGATGGCTAAGGGTTGAATTAAGGGCACTGCTGATTGGTTATTTCAGTTAATACAGTACAAAAAACATTAATTTATTAACTTCTTCAGTGGTTAGAATTGGTTTCTTTTATTTTCACCTGTTCATAAAATAAAATAACCCTTTGCATAAAAATAAATTCTCCAAACCTAGACAAGCTTGTATCAAGGTCTGGCCACACTGTCCGCAAAGTCGAACCTGTCGAATCTGGTGAAAAGTTTCGAAGGTTCGTCGAACCGGTTCGACCCAGTCGAACCCCGGAAGTTCGACCTAAAAATCCGGTTCGACAAAAGTTCGCGACACCCCTAGTGGGGACCTTGTGGGGACAGCAGTTTTAGCAGATCGTTTCTTTTTCAATTCAAGGGGCGAGCGGAGCCAGCGGATCTGAGCCTGGCCGCCTATACTTCGTTTCAGCTTCGGTCCAGACGCAGCCGCGCGAGCATCTGGCCCAGAACAGTGCTTGCACTGCACGAGCGCGCGTGCTTGGCAGGGATGCTGAAAGCCCGGAGCTCGCGCTTGTAGCTTAGCCGAGCCGGCCGGGCAGACGAGGGCGAGAGAGAGAGGGAGGCAGCGCGCAGGAGAGGAGGCAATTTGTGTTCTTCCAACACGCTTTCTCGGTGTGACAGGATGTTCCCCGAGTGTCGGAGAACAAGTTGGGAAACATGGTTTTCGGACTACAGCAACATGTTTCCGGACTGTTGCTGTTTCCGCAATGTGACAGGGTCCCCGAAAACATGTTTTCATCGTGTTGAAGGACAAAGTTCTCCAACTGTTTCCGCAGTGTGACAGGGTGCTTCTTTGTGCCATCGATTCAGATGATTTTGACGATCAGCTGCCGCCGCGCAAGAAGCCGCGTTCGAAATTGCCCTTCACGCTTGACTTTATTATTGAAGTATTCTCGTGCGACTATCTGTACAGAAAAATATAGATGTTGCCGTGTTGCTGGAAAAAAAATTCGCTCAGCCACCGAAATAAGCAACACGTGTCGTCCGACACAAGTTGTCGAGGTTTCCGTTGCCAAAAGCAGTCACACCGAGACAACATTGTCGCTGTCGTCCATGTTGTGTTGCTGTTTCCTCAATGTGACAGGGTTGTCGGGCAACAGAGCCGACAGCCGACATGTTTCCCGACTGTTGAGAAACATGTTTTGTTCATGTTTCCGCCGTGTTTCCTCAATGTGACAGGGCCTTTATCGGGCAACACAGCCGACAGCCGACATGTTTCCCGACTGTTGAGAAACATGTTTTGTTGATGTTTCCGCCGTGCTTCCTCAATGTGACAGGGGCTTAAGAGTTTTCGATCCCCTGTCCAATACTCTGTTTAACTTCAAGCGTAGCAGAATCTACAAGAGCGAGCTCGGGCCATTTAGTGTCCCTGCCAAGCACGCGCGCTCGTGCAGCGCATGGCACTGTTCAGGGCCACATGCTCGCGCTTGTAGCATCGTCTGCGGAAGTATAAGGCCGGCAATCTTGATGGTGTGGAATGCAGAAGAACCGTGGAAGCTCGCCGTCAGCGCGCGCTCAGCAGAGTTCAGCAAGAGTTATAGTTACGTTGGTCACGTGGTTCCAGACACCTTTATGTGACTTCTGTGCGCTGGATACGTCAGTATTCTGCCAATGTAGTCTGTGGGGGCTATGTTGCACGTTTTGGACTCCCAGGAGACTAGAGAGAAGGAAGTGACGTAGGTATGAATGAACGTATCTTAGCAGCACCACGCAAGGCGTCATCAGCGACTCCACCAATCAACATCCGAAGAGCGTTGTTGACGTCACTTCCTTCTCCCTAGTCTCCTGGGAGTCCAAAACGTGCAACATAGCCCCCCTGGTCTTCAGATGCAAACGATTGCCATTGTAAAATTCAATATATTACTTAACAGTGATCTAAAAACTGGGAGTTTTTGGAGCACTGTTTAGAGCACTGCGCGCGACAGAAACGTGGTGATAAACGAATGGCAAGTGGTCCTAAACGAATGGAAAGGGGCGAAAAGGCGGTAAGAACCAATGCTAACGCATTTCCATCTGATAAATCCCATTGATCATCGAAGAATTTTTTATTATTATTTCATGCACGTGTGTTTGGTAAGAACAGGAAACCCAAAAGAGAACACGTATAATGGAATACTTTTAGGCAGCCGAGCATGGGCGCCGCCATAACCGGCCTCCAGTTTTTCTTTTCTCTTATTCAGTTCGCTTCACTTCATCATTACCACAGCAGGACAGTTTATTTCCACTTTAGGTGCTATTGTGCCCTTCTCCCCAGCATAGGCCTTTGTGGTGGCTCGTCAACGCCCGCTTCAGTGGCTCAACATCTCACAGTGGGTGACAATAAGCCCCCTTAAAAAACCTATATGAAACCAGGTAAAGGAAAGAGGGACTTTAGGTAAGCGTTTAGCAGCTCGATCCGACAACGACCAAGTCAGTTGGAACTTGGCACGAGAAGGAAGCACGAGGTTAAAAAGACACGACACACGAGGTTCTGCGATTTCCTCTTCCTCTACACCTCTACACTTGAAGAAGACTAATTCGATGGCAAGGCCCACAAGTGCTCCTGAAAGTACCCCAGGGACGGCAACTCGGAACTCCCTTGGTGCCGTGGGGACCACTTGCCTATCCCCTCTCGCACTTGCTATGGCTATCTTCAGTTTCAGCCTGCTCGTCCTCACTGTTTTCCGCCCTATGAGAGTGGACTCTAAAGAGCCTGTGTTGAGCGAGCAGCGAAAGGCTTATTTGGGCAAGAAACTCGGAGACCTGACTGCCGGTAAACGAGGGGTTTCTGGCACTCTCTACGCCGCCACGGGAAAACATTTTGTAATAGAGGACTTCAGCTACAATGGCACAGCTCCTGACGCCTACTTCATGGTGGGAACTTCTAGTCAACCATCGAAGCATGGCACAATTTTCGCAAATGAGGCTGGAAGCAACGGTACAATCCCCGCGTACAGCAAGCAGACGATTGTGCTAACGGTACCGGGACAAGCGGTCGTCACCGACTTCAAATGGTTTAGCGTCTACCGCAAAGATGCAGAGATAAGCATAGGCGACGTGGCCATACCAAGCAACTTCGACTACCCTAGAGAAAGGACCATCGGTTCGTCTTTGTCCGGCGCTCACAAGACACACGCTGCAGAGGTTGTGCTGAAAGACGTGAAAACGCTCTTCCTGAAGAATTTCTCTTACGATGGATCTGCTCCAGACGCATTCTTCCTTTGTGGGAAAGGAAGCCCCAACCCGAATGGTACGAAGATTCCTGATGAAAAAGGAAGCCTAGAGGTGATTCGAGGCTACGTCCACGAGGATGTAACTCTTGCCCTACCCGGCGATCTGACTGTGTTCGACATCGACTGGTTCGCAGTCTACTGCATAACGTACATTGAAACCTTCATCAGTGTCACAATCCCGAAGAATCCAAACGTGCCGCCCCTAGTGGAAGTTCTTAAGAGCCAAAAACAGTGGGATCAAAGCGATGGGTCAGATTTCGACAACTGCGAAACTATTATACCCAATAGGATCCAAGTGGCCTGGAAATTGAAAAGCAACTCGGTACTGTTTCAGCTCAGTACAAAACTCGTGGCCAAGCAGTGGGCTGCTTTTGGAGTCAGCGGAGACAAGGACAAGAACCAGATGATTGGGGGTGACGTGGCCATTGTTTACCTTGAGGGTCCCTTGAACAAAGCGAAACTCGTAGACTACTCCTTGGGTTCTAAAGCGCAGTGTTCTAACACCAGCGGTGGGGTGTGCCCCGACGTCAAATCATCGCCGACGGGCACAGACGACTTGACGATGGTTTCCTCGAATTACGAAAACGGACTTCTGAAGGTCGTATACTACCGGCCCTTGGCTGCCATTGATCGATACGACAAAGCTATTACTCCGACTGAAGAAACAGCGGTGATTGCTGCCCAGGGCCCCATGGCCGAGGACCCGCCCGATGTTGTGCTTTATCACACAATGTACGTGACCAGAACCAAGACAACGTTGAAGCTCAGCCGGCCAGCTAAGAAAAACTGCCAACCCCTGACGGCATCTAGACCACGTGAAGAGACCATGGACGAAAGACAGTTTGGTGGAAGAGACATCCTTAGGCGAGAAGGCGTGACTGTCTTCACCGCAAGAATAGGTCCCACAGGAGGATCCAGGGGATATGCCAAGATTACTGGCAACGCTGGCTGGGGTATCGCCTGGTGGATCAACGACGAGCTCATCCCAGTTTTGCATGTGGAGAGAGGAAAGACGTACACCTTCGTAGCCCAAGGCGGCCACAACCAATCTAACTCGGCGCGCTACCATCCCTTTTACATCACGGACAGTAAGAAGGGAGGCGGATCCCAGGAAGACGTGAAGTTGCTCGGGAAACCGGGGCATCTGCTACTTGCCGGCGTCACGATGGATCCCAAGGGAAAAGCTGACGTCTCTCAAGCCGTTGGGCGCTACTGCGAGTGGGAACACAAGTCCGTCGATCAAAGCGACGTCGTCAAAACGTTCTCGGAGTTCATGACAACGCTAGAGTTGCAATGTGAGCCCAACGTGAAGTCAGGCACGTTTACCTGGACTCCCGATGAAAAGACTCCGGACACTGTGTACTACCAGTGCTTCACTCACTTTTATCTCGGCTGGAAGATAGCAGTGAAGAACCCAGGTGATCCGGACGAGCCGCTTGATGCCAAGCCTGGCAATGCCCGCACCTTCGACTCCGCACTCCTGATGACGTCCCTGCTGGTGTGTGTGACCTTGAGACTATCGACACGACTTACGAGCCATCAGTAAACGCGATTTGACCTGTCTTATAGACCCGTCAAGGCAAAGCTCGACATGATTAGTGGCGCTTCAAAGTCCTCCGAGATCAGTTTAATGTCAAGAAATGTTTGTAATATGCCACAAAAGGCAAGGATCCCAATAAAGAAAAAAATTGCTGCATACTTTATCGTTTAGCTTGTATGGCGAAAATAATAATTGGGGTTGTGTGGATATTTTTGGTCAGCCATTTCAATGTTGCGACGAGTCACTCGCTGTAGGCGAGCAATTTAGCCAGTGCGGTAACCGCTTGTCTGGGGTCTTTAACGTGCATCACGCAGTAGTGATAGACGACCGCACGCCGATACGATGCTCATCCAGATAGAGATGGGCAGAGATGGGGGGGGGGGGGGGGGGGGGATTGAACCTAGGATCCCTGGGTTCTGCAGTGCGAGCTTTCGCTCCACGTGCTCCGAGCTGGTGTGCGCTAGCCATCTCGGCCACCGGCTTCACAAAGGCCGGCAACCACTCCAGTTCCGGACATATTTTCTGGTACACCTATCAAGTTCAGGTTTTGAATGAAATAATACCGTGCTGGACGGGCATCCAGATCCACATTACGAACTGCCATACTGCAACTCCAAATAGCACGCAGGCCCAGTAAAGATACGATGTCATATGGGAAAGACGTCCCCTCCACAGACAAAAACGTATACCTTGAACCGTGAGCGGTAGGTGTGTTTTGAGGGTGCGTTCGAGCACATTCCAGAGCGGGATAGCCTCCCAACAGTCCAGGAACACGCACTCCACGATCTCTTGCACAAAGAAAAGAAGAAAAAGGAATCCTTGACCCATGGTAAAAAACATGCTCCTTTTCGCTAACCATGTTACAGTGAATTAGAATATAGGGGCAGGGGAAAAAGCGTCGGCGGCACCCACCGGCCGTGTGAAGCCAGAAGTGTAGACTGCCGCGAGTGGCGCTGTTGTCGAAATCCTGAGGACATGGCTACTGTAACATGGGATATGGCGCCGCGTATGTTCTCAGATGGTTTCTGTGGTGATGGTCGTTTTCGCAATCTGTTATCGTGAATGTCAAGTGCTTGGCATTGTGATTACATAGGTTCGAGTCTTGTCGCTATATAAGCAATGAAAACGAAGAGAAAGAAGACGGATGCGCACCGCTACGCGCCCGCATGCAAGACTGGTTACCCCGGTTTTCAATACATTGCCCAAGTAAGCTTTAAACATTAATTCAGACCAACACCACCTAGACAGAAGGCCTCCATACGCGTCATCATAGTCAGATCGATCGAGGCGAGAGATTGGGCACGAGTGCTGCGTCAGTGTTCGGCTGCGGCTCGTGGCCAATCAGCGCGTCGAAGGTCGGGCTCGGGTCCAATTGGGCAGGAGATCGAACTATAGGGGGCGCTCTGATCCGTTTGTTTTCCCCACGCTCGGTGTTTACTCAACACAAGGCCTGTGCACATGCCGACAGGCCTTATGGGCATGGCCGTGTCATCTTCTACAATAGAGCGCGGGGCACAGTGTAATGTAAAAAATACTAACAATCGACGAAGCGACGTTAAGTGCCGGATCTATTCTCAGAGAATGCGAGCTAAAAAAATTGGCTTGCTCTTTATGTTTATACAGCCTTGATGGAGATGTGCCTCAACGGGTAATCGGTCTCTTAGCTGTAGATGAGAAATTTAGCCAGTGCGGTACAACCGCTAACCTGGGATTTTTAACGTGCATCACACAGTAGTGGTCGCACGAACGCGTGCCGGTACGAAACTCATCCAGATCGAAACGGGCGGGGGCGGCGGGGATCGAACCCAGGAGGTTCCCAGCGCAAGCTTTCGCTCCACGCTCCGAGCTGAGACGCGTTAGCCCACTCGGCCACTTCCTCCCTTAGAATGCGAGCTTGACCCACTTCGGCTTTTGTGCTGAGCTGGGATCGTGCATGCTGCATTGTTCATGCAGGCCGCAATGGAAAGAAAAGAGCCCTCCTCCCCCTCGCCGGAGAACACGAACTCCAGCCGAACGCTGACGCCGCGTTCGGTTATGTCGGCCGAGCGCTGCGTCATTGTATTTGTTGTCCCCATCCGTGTAGTTGTTAATTTAACCGCTTGGGGCGTCACGGTCGCTCCTCCTCCCCAATAGCCGACCGAGCGCGATCCGACTGTGATGACGTTTCATAGAGGAAGAGGAAACCATGCGGAGGCCTTCTGTCTAGGTGGTGTTGTTCAGACACGTTGAAACACCCAGACAGCACATGGGCTACACCAATGAACCGCTAAGATCAAAAGCAGATACGCTTGGCGCGAACTTCGCTGGCAGGAGTGCTCTGGAATCGAACACCAGTGCTACCTGATAGGTTCTACACGAAGCGCCTCACCTGGAGGCCGGCTATTTTTCCACTACTCCTATTCTAGTTCACTGTAACCAGGCACGTAGCCAGGATTTTGTTTCGGGGGGGGGGGGGGGGTGCGCCCATGACAAAATGCTGTATGAGGGGGAGGGGGGGAAAGGAGGTCCCAGCAAAATGGAAGATCTCGGGGGGGGGGGGGGGGGCCCATGCCCCCCCCCCCCCCTGGTTACGTGCCTGACTGTAAGCATGTCTTTACTGGCAGCTCGGCTACCGATCCCCCTTGCATTCTGACAATCCTATGTACGGCAGATGAACCGATGTCTAGAAAGAAGGAGTTGACGTTGCTTCGACATTTTATGGCTTTAGAACGTAAAGAGGGCAGACCAATAAAGAAAAAAAACATCAGACTATGTATATCAATTTCGTTTTGTGTTCTGTATATTTTCTTTGTGCTTTGAACGCATATGGAGAAGAGGAAATCGATCGCGCCGCTTCCAGGATGTGCGAAGTGCTCGAGTCAACCTCAACGTACACATCGGAACAGCCCCACAATCCCCTGCGACACGCGCTGCAGTCTGGGACTGCCGCGAGGCCTTGTGGGATTTTCCGGAAAGGTCTTTTCTGTACGGAGAGATACCGCAAGAGAGGAGGAGCTAATGGGAGCGGGCAATGACGTCTGAACGCCGACTTCTGATTCTAAGGAAGGATGAATGAATAGACGCAAAGGCTGGCTGCCCTTGCGCACAGGCAGCGGGCACAGCCAGCAAGATGTCTTTCTTATACTGTTAAACACTTAATTCTTTTCGCGGCCCCTATTTTTCGCGAATCGGTCATAGAGGACCTCATCGTGGCCACTAAATTTCGCGAATTCCAGACACCTGCGCTACAACGAAATTTCGGCGCTCATATCTTCGTCTATATGTGTCCAAAGGAGCAGTATCACATCGAACACAGCAATATCTTGTTAAAAAAAGTCACGAAAAGGAATTTTAAAACGAATTAAACGATTAGCAAAGAGCACCTGGTGGATGTCGCTCACGCCTCGCTTGTAATGCCCGTCTAGGAACCTTGACAGCTAGTGACGGTGAGTGTCTCGCCTCCGGCCACGACGAGAGAAGAGGGGAAGGAGGAACTCCCCTCTTTCCGAGAATGCCTTTTGTGTGTCGCAGAAGTCGGTATTGTCCCCCTACAAGATTATAGAAGACTAACCCGTCACTCAAAATGCGTACAAAAGCAGCCGCTTCGGTGGCTGGAACGACTAGGCCACCCTCTCAACGTCAGCCTCGCCGTAGCTTTGCTCGTCCTGAGACGACCTACGTCACGATTGCGTTGGATGTCACGTGGTCTCCGCTGGGCCTTCTCCGATTGCTTGCCAGAGTGGGCCGTTTATAACGAAAAATACAGACACCAGGCTCAAAATACAAACGTGCGATTGTCATTTACGGATATTGTGGATCATATTCAACCTATTTTTGAACACGGCGGGAATATTTCAAATTTCGTTGAAGTATCCCTTTAAGTACCTACACTCTTGCGTGCCCCCTTTAATTTCGCGAATTTTTCAATTCGCGAAATTCGAGAAAATTAAGGGCTCGCGAACATTAAGGGTTTTACAGTATCTCTTTGCAGACACTAAAATCACCAAAGGCCGAGAACAAGCTTAACTCTCGACTTTGATTATACAGTGCCAAAGGATTCCAAGAACATCGTATACGTAATCAGATGCCAAAACAACCCCAGCCAAAAGCGAAAAAAAAAAAAAAGTTTACGGAGAACAATTTTCTAGTGTTGCCTCGTTTATATATATATAAAAAAAAGAAAAAAACAAAACAAAACCAAGAAACTACAACGCATAAGTCTAATCGCTTTGGCAGCACTCCCTTTAAAAAGGAATGAAAGTTTAGCAACGCGCGTGGATGACCTAGACGCGTGTTTGGGTCGGCTGAGTCTGACCGCCAAACAGCTTGGCATGTGTGTGGGTGCCTCTATATATTGCCGCAACCTGTTGTCGAGTCGGCGAAGGGAGTTTCTGTTTCTCTTTAGCGTACTTGGTGACGAAGTTGTGGGGATCTTTTTTGTCTAGTTAATTCTTTGATCCGTCTAGTCCGTTAGAACGCGTAACGCCGGAGTACGGCGTTTGGGTCTTCTCTGGCATTCGAACGCGTTCAATGAGTGCACTGGAGATAAAGCAAAAGCTTTAAGTTTATCCGGAGTGCAAGTTCGTCTGCTTCTTTAACAGGTGTTGCGAGGATGTCAGAACGCTGAGCCCTGATTGGCTGATCAAAGCCACCAATCAGAGCTCGGCATCGTTCTGACGTCACCGCAGACTCTTACTGGCCTTGTCCCTCATATTGTCGGCGTATAACGTTATTTTTCTCGCTTTTCAGTTGGTTTTATATCTTCTTTTCTTTGTACCATGTACGTACCGGAATGGCTCCTTTACTTTGAGTAACTTCGTTCTCGCCTGTTTACAGTGTTGTCTGTTTGATTGATGTGAAACGCTGGGCCAACTCTTGATCTCTAACTACCCCTTCATTACCAAGAGGTTCCTTCAACAGTTTAAGAACTCTTGGACCAATGCCCAAATAAAAATCGTATGACTTGACAACTCGATTAAAAATAAAAACACATTTTGATTTGACTTTTGTGTCTATAAGTCACTCCGCTGTACAGGTCGCAAACATTTATCAACCGCCGTTTTCACGCACACACGAACGTATAAGTCGTATATCTGTGCGGGACGGCGCGCCGAAACTGCATTGATAAGCC